GGCATGTTTTAAAGTATGAAGTATCATCTTTCTCTTCTTTTTTTTTTGTAGGAGTTTGTCCAAACTGAGAACATGTACAGTCAATGTAGTGTTTTAAAACATAGGGCTGCAAAATTTGAGGAAAAAAATTGTATTGCAATTATTCTGCTAAAAAATGCAATTTTAAATGTGGTTTAAAAAAAACTCCAAGTTTATACATCAGTATGACTATAAAAAAAAAAAATTTAAAAAAAAAATATATATATATTTATTATGATTATTATTATTACTACATAAAAAATAAGATATATTAGTAATAATACTTCACTGTAAAATAAAAAATAACATAGTAATATATATAATAATAATAAATGCATGTTATAAGTGACCTAAACTGGAGTTTGCTGCATTTACTGTGAACCAAGCTGCTGAAAACACCGGGTTATGAGCTGCTTGCCTGTAAAAGAACACAGGGCCATGATTCACAATGAAACACATAGCATATATGCATTTATATTAATATATGTATGTATTTAATTAAATCACAGCCTTTGCAATTTGATAATCACACTAAGCCATTTTGCGATTTCAGTTTCATTTCGATTAATCATGCAGCCCTATTAAAACGTGACCAAACTGAATACTATACTGATTGTAAGCATGTGTTAATATGTCAAGAAATGTACTAAATAAAACAAAGCTATACCTAATTTTGCACAAATAGAATTTATGAATAGTGATGTAAAAAATCTAATGTTTGATTAGAATCACATGCAGATATCAATAATCCATTAAATCAATATCAGTAATCCATAAACAGCTGGTTTAAGCCATAAACTGTCTGTGTAACATCAAGCGGACTTCTTGGCGCTCAATAAAGTGGACTTTGATTCTCATTTTAATGATCAAATTTTCCAGAAGAATACAAGTATAAACAATAATGAGTCACAAATGGTATGTCAAATGAGCAATCGTGTGTAATAGATTTATTTAGTCTACAACACAACATAATGATTATAGGGATCATAAAATTCTTGGAGGATGTAGGACAGTGCTGTTTAATCCCCACTTCTGACACGCACACATACGAGCACAATCGTGGACCCCTACACAGACCAGCTCTGATTGTATTTACAGAGACACTGCTGACGCCAGCAGCCAGCCTAATGCAAAGGAAATCAAATGAACGGGCGTTTGATGATGCCTTAAACTGGACCATTACACTTCCCTTTTCCTTATTAAAAAGCTCCAGAGTGGGAAAAACCTGCACTATATACATAATACATATATTTCACACACGGGAGTCGACATTTCTGTATGTGTAACTGTCCATTTATAGAAGGCTAGAGTCTAGAGTGACCATTCATAAAAATGGAACAAGTGAGCTAGACTTCCCAGAAAATGTTTTTGTTTTTTTATATCCTTAATCAATATTGCCTCTATATATTTGGCCTACGCTGAAGGATCAGGACCTGTTGAGCCAACACATTTAACACATCCATTAACTTGTTTTAAATCAGCATAAATCAGCAGACATTCTCATATTTTCATATTTTATATATTATATATATTTTCATAATATTAGATAGATAGATAGAGATAAAATATTACATTTAATATATTAACAGAAAACAGTTATTTTTAATTGTAATGATAATTCACAATATTATTGATCAAAATAAAGCAAAAATTATATAAAAAATATATAGTAATATTTCACAATATTGCTTATTTTATATATATATATATATATAATGTTTATGTATGTATGTAATGAGGTTGTTGAAGCTGTATGCATAAAATGTATTATTTATATTATTTGGTATTATTTTAATTGTATTATTATTATCATTATTAATAATAATAATACTAATAATTTTATTATTATCATTATCATTATGGCAACTATACTCAATTACACTAATTATAATCATTACAACAATAAAAAGGAAAGAAACGGAAGCTCTTTCCGTTTGATGGTGCAATATGTCCAGCATTTGGTTATAGTATATCAGTTCAAATCTACTGGTTTGTTGATTCTAGCTGAGAAATGTCAGTCAGCTCAGCAGTGGCATGGTTTGATTTTGTGTTGAGAGCACCATTTTTAATGAGACGGATGTTCTTTATAACAACGAACCTCCAAGCTTACGCAGTAATTTATCTCCTTCCATCATGAATGCTTGTAGTGTAAATCGGTTCGGAGTGAAGCTAACAGACTGTCAGCTTGTCACATAGATCAGCAGCAGCTGGCAGGTTCATTCTGCTGCTAAAATGAGGTTTGAAGACATTGCTGAGAGTTACTGTGTAATCAACAGACACGTCCCCACCCATTCCACTGTGTCACTGTTTGTGGATTCGATGCAGGTGAAATTCTTCAAAACGTCATTTTCAATCTTATGAGGGCAATTTCAGGTCACAGAAAGAGACTCTGTTGATTCTATTTGATAAACAGTTACATTTTCCTGTTAAACACTGACATGTTTTTAAGGAAAAGAATTTCATTTTTCCCTCTTACCAATGATACAATTCTTTAGATAACATATTGTAACATATCTGAGTAGGTTAAATATCTTTGGCATGGGTAGGGGGATTGAAAGGAATTTGCTGTTACAACATTATGTGGTATATCTATACGGTCCTGTTGGATCTGTTCGATGCTTTAGCGGAACAACGTCCAGACATCCATTGTTTGCTTGGTTTATTTATTCGACTCGTTTGAGACCAGTTTAGGTATTCATTCTGAATGTGTTAGTTTAGTTAGTTAAGTCAGTATAAGCTACCTTTATTAAATCCTAAAACGGAATGGTTTTCATGACGTTCCATTTTTGAGCGTGGATATGCAATATGCACGGAACATGATTCCTAAACGAATGATTCTTATGAGCCGGTTCCTTTTAGTGAATCAAAAGTATTAAGCGTAACCAGTGTAGTCCGATTCCCGAATGAATTGTTCTAATGAGTCGGCTCTTTTTAAGTGACTCAAACACTTAATCAGACTAAACAGTGAATGATTCTCTCTGCTCTAGTTGTTACTTTAATCATATACGATTCTAAACTATCCTAAACTTGGTGTTAATTAAATTTTTTTTCGTTTTCAGAGTAAAACATGTCTATTGGTGTTCCCATCAAAGTCCTGCATGAAGCAGAGGGTCACATCGTGACCTGTGAGACAAACACGGGTGAGGTGTACAGAGGCAAATTGATCGAAGCAGAGGATAACATGAACTGCCAGGTACTGCAGAATCACAATTCATTCTTGATGCGTTCTATCTACATTACCCAAACGCTTACTTTAAACCTGTATACATTTGCACTGCAGTGAGTCTTAAATAATGAAACTAACTGCACTTGTTTTGTGCGAATTAGATGTCCAACATTACAGTGACCTATCGAGATGGCAGAGTGTCTCAGCTGGAGCAGGTGTACATTCGCGGCAGCAAAATACGCTTCCTCATTCTGCCAGACATGTTGAAAAATGCCCCTATGTTGAAGAGCATGAAAAACAAAAACCAAGGTGCAGGAGCTGGAAGAGGCAAAGCTGCTATTCTCAAAGCTCAAGGTTGGTCAATGGTATCTTTGACTTTACAGTAATATTTATAATATTACTTAGTATTACATTAGTTATTGCAGGTGTACTGTGCTTTTCAGTGGTTGCAATGTCAAATGCTGTTTAGCCATATAAATTATTTATATACTCCCAAATTTGTTTTTGTTTTTACTCCAAAATTTTGTTGGATCGTCTAGTACATTTTAGTACCATTATCAATTCAAGCAGTTGCCTTTAAATATAAATTATATTCAAATATCCAATTCAAGATAAATAATAAAATGAATTTAAATATCCTCAAAAATCACTGAGCCCTGTTTGTCATTTTGTTTTAATCAGGTGGCTGAACGTGTTAATGCTTTTCGTGGGAAAAGCATAAGATGAAACCACTAACTGTTTGTCTTTCCTTTGCAGTCGCAGCAAGGGGCAGAGGTCGAGGAGGACCAGGAGGAAGGGGAAATATTTTCCAGAAAAGACGATAATGTGAATCCTGTTTCAATCACCGTGTCATTTTGTACAGTTTTTTTTTTTTTTTTTTTTCTTAAATGAGAAATTGTGTGCTTTTTTGGTTTGGTAAATTTGGTGATCTTGTAGGTTTATTGATTTTGCAACATTTTCAACATTTTGTATATCATGTAATAAAGCTGTTTACTTAAATAAAAAGTCTGTTTTTAGTGCTGCTAAACCAGTCATTCCTTAATTGTATCTCATTCCATTTATTAACTGATAAAAATCTATAAACACCTCAACACTTTGGTTTATTTTGGTCAGATGAGAGAAAAAGTTTAAGTTGGGTGAAATTAAGATGTTTTACATGTTTTTGTTTTTTTTTAAGTTTTTTTACTTTTTCTGTTGTGATTCACTTTAGAACCAAGAGGTGTGGAAAATACTGAAAAATTATATAGTGAAAATATGGATTTTATCTCGGATTTCGCTTATAAAGGTATGCGTGTGTGTATATTTGTATGTATACGTGTGTGTGTGTATACATGTGGGTGTGTATATATCTATATATATATATATATATATATAGATAGTGTATATGATGTGATGCTCTAGAACACACAGAATATTCATTTGAAACCCGTTAGATAAGTTGTCCACCTTCAGCAATGTCTAAAATTGAAGTGTATTTCTTTAGAGTAAAGAATAAATGCCCATAGTTGTCTCTAAATAGGTGTGCAGTGTGCACTGAACTTCATCGGCTATGTAAGTTCAGCCGGGCGCGTAACTGTACTGACTTAGTAAAATAGTACTTTGGGGATTTACATGAAATTGTAACAATCAAAAGTTTCATTTTTGACTTGACTTAGTGTCAAAATGCAGTTGAGTAAGACTACAGGTATTCGAGTGAAGTACAGCGATGAAGTTCAGTTAACCAAGCTAATAAGCCCCTGCTTGTCCGCGCAGCATTGGACGCAGTTCCTCTTGTGACCGTTAGATGTCGCCACTCCTCTCACATTCACTCACAGCAGAAGCACCTCCGTCCCCCGCTGTCTGCACATCATACCATATCATAAACCGCTACCATTACTGCCAGCGAGCTAACATAACAACATACCCTTCAAAAACAGGATCTTACAAACGGCCGAGGTAAGGACGCAACACTTGAACCAACGACTCGCACTGTACCTCTATAAAGCGACATGCGTGAACATACATGGTCACAATGATTTTATTAATCCTCGGCTGGATTTTCCAAACATCTGTTTCGTAAGAGATGCGTTAGCCAGCTTTAGCAAAATAACAACCAACCTTAAAATTGTTCTCCACACGGAATCAGCTCTTCAAGACAGTGTCAGTGTTTGCATGAAGCTTTTACAGATAATAATCATGAAATTGCGTTGGATGATTGTGAAGCAGGAGTGATCAAAGCATATACACATCTAATATACACATGAGATCAGTTTGGTTATTGGGAAGTTGGGTTATTCTACGAAAAGGCGCATTTTCAGTTTTAATAAGGTGATTTAAAGTCAAATTTCTAAACATCCAATAAGACAATGTGTCAGTGAACCGTGAAATTAATTGTAATGTGTGCTGGGACAGGATTGATGATAAAACAGGGTTAACAGTTTTTAGTTCAAGTTGATATTACAAGGTCGTGAAACTATAAAGGGCTCATTTGGAGAAGAATTTAATGCTGTATTTCAACAAATACTTTTCAATTTTCATATTTCATATTTTTTTTATATATATATATATATGTATGTATATATTAGACTTTTATGTTTTATTTATATTTATTAAAATTCTTAATATTATATATATTGTTCTAATATAGAAAGAGGTTGGACAGACATGAGTGGGGGAAATGACTCATCTTTGTGAAGAAAGAAAAAAGCATAATATAAAGTTACTGGATTTTGTTCGAGTGTTTAAAGTTGGCATCATCTATTGAATGTTAAAGTCGTTTTTTTCCACATATGTATTTGAGAGACAAAAATGGCACCTGTTTTGTAGAATGACCCAGTTACCGAAGGATTCAGCATCCTTAATTCGTTTTCATCCTGTCTGTTTGACAGTTGAAAAGTGAAACCCGTAAAATCACTGGCTGTGTATCAACATCTAGTGAGCTGCCTGCCTAGACAGTATTTTTGGGCATCAAAGGAACATGCAAAATGTTCTTATTTCCAAAAATGCTGTCTAGGTTTTGACAGCTATTGTGTGACGATTTAATCCATATGGCTACAATGAAAGAATTACATCTATGCATTAGATGTAATTTGTGCTGCATTATTAACAAATGATATTTTGTATCCACTGACTTGTGTTTTCATGTTGCTTGGGTGTTTGGGTCTAAAATAGTTTGCCTTGTTTGGAGAGAGTGGCATAAGATGGTCTCTGGAGGGCTTTTCCCTGTGGAATGAGCCATTGGGGTATGATTTGAAATCTAGCTGTGGGTAAACTGGATAAAATTGGTTATTTATTTGTCAGGCTTCAAGTGCAAAAATATGATTGAGGTTGGCGTAATTACTTTTCATTTCTTAGTTTATAGAACATAATCAGAACAGCCAACGCATGGGTATGGGAAATATCCACAGACTTGTATAAAGTGTGGCGGACTTTTTTGTTTTTAAACTGCTTTCAAATTCAATATAACCTAGTATAAGATTTCAAGTAGTCCCACAGTTTGTACAAAAAAATTGTGTTTTCAGTAATGCACTTGCAATAGGAGTCTATGTTACAAGGCACTTCACTGGGATAAATTTTATATAAAAAAACAGTTCAAATACATAATAATTGTGCTCAGAAGTTTTAATTAAGTCATGGAAATGTGAACTGCACATTTCTGCTTTTAGAGCCTGCTGAATATCTTGCCCCTTACTTCCATTGTGAAGGCCCCAATGTACTCATGGCAAAGATCTTTTCATAAAAACATATAAAACATATTGGCACTTTCAATTAGAATTACAACTTCAATTTGTAATAAAGCAGCTTTTTACTCACGTCTGACCTCGACGGACTGAGCAGAAGAAATTAACTGAGCCCCAGAAGAAACTGAAAGAATCTTTCAGTGAACAGTTCTTAAAGGGGTCATATGATGTTACTAAAAAGAACATTATTTTGTGTATTTGATGTAATGAAATGTGTTTATGTGGTTTAAGGTTAAAAAAACACATTATTTTCCACATACTGTACATTATTGTTTCTCCTCTATGCCCCGCCTTTCTACCCCTTTAAAAACCATTTTTCTTAGTGTGAAGAACATATTAATAATCTAAAGAACTTTTTTCCACTAATCTAGAGAATTTTTTGTTGAATGGAAAAGATTCATGGATGTTAAAGAGTCTTCACGGAACCGTAGATACCAATTACAAAAATGTAATCGCCCATGGAGCAATGGTAGTTTGAAGCAAACTTTTCCAGAGATTTTACTTCAGCAAGCTGTTTTGAACTCCAAACAAACTTCATTTTTGGCCTGATTTTGAAATGGTGTCACACTAGTTCATTCTTCGATTTTGCTTGAAGTATTTCAGGGCATTATTGTAAAACTGAGTAAAGAGTCAGAATCATTGTCTGTGGCGATGGACAGCATACTGCAGATGGTGTTGAGAGAGCATAACTCTTTTTGATGTTTCAAAGAATGCTGAACACTCCAGGTGGTCCCATATGGCCAATCCTCTGTGGACCCCTTTCCCTGTGGATGCCCTGTGCATTTCACCATAATAAAGACAACTAGAGAGTGGAAAGTCATCTGGAGTAAGACTGCATCTGTTTTGTTTCTAGGGTAAAATTGGTTTCTTGCTGGAGTTTATCTTGGGTAAGGGCTCGACTCAGTGGATCTTTTTATGCATTTGATGTTGTCCTTTGTGGAAACTCTTTAATGTAGACCCCGTTTGTTATACATGTGGTCTGTGGGGGTCCAGAGATTATTTGCTTGTGAGTCTGAGTCTCCATAACAAATTAGGTTTACGTGTGTTTGGTAGGTTGGGCACGTGAAGGTGAAACACTTGGTTTGCAATCCATCAAAGATCGAAGTAGGTCACAGAAGAATGTGGAAACTGCTCTCAGATTAAAATAGCTCAGCCTACCATTGCAGTCAGGCCACATCTTGCCCGCATCTACCGTGAATTTCCTGTTGTTGAAAAGAGGATGTGATACTCTGGGTTTATTTGTGTTGTCATAGATGCTTGCATGGTACCTGTGATCCTGCCGCATGAGTTTCAGATAGTTGCCTGACGCTCAGACTAGAGGTCTGCTACCCGACCCGAGCTCGACGGGTCCCAAAATACTTTCGGGTTTCGGGTCGGGTTCGGGTTAATGTTTAATGAATAGCTTCGGGTTCGGGTCGGGCTCGGGTTTATAGCGGTCGGACATGCCTGGCCGCTCTGTGCTCAACTGGGCTGTCTCTTTGTCATCGAGGTTGAGAGATGTGAGGACAGGAAGTCACTAACGGCGTCCACACCAGGAACAGACCAGTGATTAAAATCGGATCTGACGTTAAAGGGGACATCAAATGCCCCTTTTCCACAAGTTGGTAGGATTCTTTAGGGTCTTCATGAACTGTCTGCAACATACTTTGGTTAAAATTCCTCAGTGGTTGTGTAAAACAACAACATTTTTACCTCGTCAAAAACAGTTCTGTACACAACCGTTTCGGTGCATGTCTCTTTAAATACTAATGAGCTCTGCTCACCCCGCCCCTCTCTTTTGTGGAAGAGGAAAGGCGATTTGCAAATAATCATAAGAAATATAAAGTGTGGGACTGGATCACGAACAGTGGGTACTGATCCATCCTTGAGTTTGAACTTTTTAGCAAAACCTACCTTGAATTATCCCTTGTACAGAAAGCAATCTGGAGTAAAATGATTGGCGCAGACATAAACGCATTTAGGTAGATCAGGGGGCGCATTCCCTTCAAAAACAAAAGTAATCCACTGCGTCTTCTTCAGCGGCTCAGATGTGGGGAATAAATGACGACTGCTATGTTCATTCTTACATCCAACAACAAAACACCTGAATCGCTTAGGAGACATTCTTGTCTACACCTGCTGCGGCGTCAAAACAATGGCGGACTGTTTACAGCTCACTCAGGGCGCGGCTATGCTAAAACGGCAGTGTCCATCAACAGTCGTGGGAGGGGCCTGTGCAAAGTGACATCACTTTGCCAAGATTCTGTGAACGGCTTGCTCTGAGATAGTGCTTATGATGGGGATTTAAAAAAACAGCACTGGGTGGATTTTTATCATTATAGGGTGGTTGTGTACACACACTGCTAAGACTCATTTAAGTTCAAACACCATGTAAAAGTGAATTTTGCATCCGATGTCCCCTTTAAAAACGTCTCATTTCATCATGAAATGTGCCTCTTCTACTCTGATATCTTGAAATAGCTGATTCATTTTGTTGCGTGCTGCTTTATTAGTTAATGTGTACTAATAATAGTAGACCATTAGTGCTGTGGTGGTACAGTAATGGCATCAGATGTCAATGACATGATACTGAATGATTACCTTCAAAGATTGACCAATAATCACTTCAACCAGTAGGCTATTTCATACCAGTATTTGCACTTCTAAACACAATCAGCTCTTTAATAACTACCTACACTATCATTCAAAAGTTTGGGGTCGGTAAGATTTTTAAAAATGTTTTGGAAAGAATGCTTACCAAGGCTACATTTATTTGATCAAAAATACAATAAAAACTTTAATATTGTGAAATATTTAAAATTAAAAAAAATTAAAATTACTGTTTTGTATTTTATATAAATATTTTTAATAATTTAAAATGTAATTTATTCCTGTGATGGCAAAGCCAAATGTTCAGCAACCGTAATTCAGTCCTCAGTATCACATGATTATTCAGAAATCATTCTAATATGCTGATTTGGTGCTCAAGAAACATTTCTTCTTATCTAGTTTCTTTATAAGTGTCATTATAAGTTTAATAATAAGCATAACCATATTGTCTGCCTGACTGATGATCTGTGTTTTAAAAATGTTTATAACACAGTATGTTGCACATATCATCTTGCGTGACGTTACAATCACTTGGCTGTCACTTGTTGTCATATTAATGTCATCTAAAATCCATCATTCATTGTCCTACTGGCTGAATCTCTTAGTAGGTGATGGATGGTGAGAGACAGTTTAATAAACAAAATAAACAGGATTTTTACATTTTATACATAAATGTGAATGGTGCTTGCTTAACCATACAAAGGTTGACACTTATATTGTTTCTAAGGTGTTCTGGGTGGTTTCTAGCATGTTGCTAGGTGGTTGTAGAATTTTCTGGATGATTATAAAGTGGTTTAAATTTAAAGAGTTTACCAAGTTTCTATTATATTCTGCTGTCTAAATGTGGCTCGAGTCTCTCTTTCAATGTAATTTTTGATCCATTTTTGAGAATGGAGGTTATTTCCAGTATAAAAGTGACATTTTTTTGTGAGAAAGTGTCATTTTTAGCTAGAAAAGCTTGAATCCTCATCAGTGTGTTCTTATTTAAGGTGAAAATGAATGTCAGGGACGTAATAAATGGGAAATGGATGCGGGAGGGGTCAAAGATGAGGAACGCTGAGAAAAATAGGTTTTTTTTCCCACAGTGTTCTCGAATGAGGGAGAGAGAACACCATCTTCCAGCTGTGTGGGTGTTTTTTTGAGAATGGAGGTTATTTCCAGTATAAAAGTGACATTTTTTGTAAGAAAGTGTCATTTTTAGCTAGGAAAGCTTGAATCCTCATCAGTGTGTTCTTATTTAAGGTGAAAATGAATGTCAGGGACGTAATAAATGGGAAATGGATGCGGGAGGGGTCAAAGATGAGGAACGCTGAGAAAAATAGGTTTTTTTTCCCACAGTGTTCTCGAATGAGGGAGAGAGAACACCATCTTCCAGCTGTGTGGGTGTTTTGACAGGAGAGCGCATGGAGGCAAGGTCCCGAGATGGTATTACAGCAAAAACATAAGTAGAGATTCGATTGCAGATGAAGAAATGACAGGGAACGAACCGAGAAAGAGAAGAAAAACCAAGCCGCTTTGGATCTCTGTGAATGCGAGCGATAGAAATGAGGACGCTTGGAGGGGGTGGGCCAGCCCACACAAGTTCTCCTTTCTGAACCCCTCAGAGTAATGAATGTCTTTTTTTATTGTACCTGCTTATATTTCTCTCATTCTGCGAGACCCACACCTCTCCCACACACACAGAGAGAGTCTCCAATGTTCAGAAAATCTGCTTGCCAAAGAAACTACATAAAAAACAGAGGCTCAGAGCAGAATGGAGATATGTAATCTTGCGAGCAGGCTTTACTTGAATGACGTTTGAAACATCTTATATTTATAAGCTTATTAGCTGTATTCAGTCATTTAATCCGTACAGGTAAACTATTTTCAGTGTAATATAATTTTATAACAATGACCTGAAAAATGTTTTTGAGTCAAGAGTTTGTTCCCAATTAGGCTTTTTCATAGAATTAGCGTCGGGGAAAACCCAAGAATATCAAGGAATTTTGAAATGGTGATTTTGCAGAATTTAACAATTTAATTTTGTGTGTTGAATTGAGGTGTGTGTGTGTATGTATGTATGTATATATATATATATAAATATACATATACATATACATTGCTCTTTGTGATCTCTATATGGGAGGCAATATATGCAAAAAAAAATGTTTTAGAATTCATAAATACTTGTATATATCACAACAATAAATGTCCGGAATTTTTCAAATGGTGCAGCCTTGTGAAAGTCATGGGAATAAAAAATAGAAATTTAGTTATGCTCAACTCAGTTATGTTACAAATATTTAAAAATAAATTAGTATATTTATATAATAGTTAATAGTTCATATCTAAAATATTAACATCAGTTTATTATTGGACACTAAACAACTGAATACTAATTATTGCATAAATATCAAATATTTATATAATAGGTACAATAATTATATGATAAAAAATAACATATAAAATATACATTATTGGGGATTGGGTAAAATTGATTGATTGATTGGGATTGGATATATAAAATATTGGGTGGGGAATATCAGGAAAGAACATGGAAAAACAAAAATTGAAGAAAAAAAAATGAAAGGGCCTTTTAACTTGACTTGTGCTTATTTTCTGTCTGAATGTAAAGTAATCATAACGCCCATTCCTAAATGATATTCAAAGTCAAGGAAATTCATTGGTCAAAAGCTGTGGGTACCATGTGCGCTGACATTCTGAATGACATCTAACATTTCCAAACTCTGTTTTTCCTGCAAGGCGTTGATGGAGGGGCTACTGAGAGGTGTTTGGGAAGCACACTATGTTTCCCTGTGTCTCCACCTGGCCCTCTTCTGATCCCCCTGCCGCTCTGGGCCATGCTCCGCCCATTCACCCGGTACAGCCACCCAATCAGCCACTGCCTGACCTGCTGCGGAGCTGTGTTGTGCTCCCTTCCCCATCCACACGCCTGAGCCCTTGTACCAACGAGATGGAGTCTATGATTGTGGTGACGGAGTATGAGCCCAGTGGTGGCTCAGGGCAGGAGGGCGGAGAGGAGGAGGAGGTGGAGGACATGGACAGCTCGGAAACGCCGGAGCTGGCGTTGTCAGGTCCGGTACCGCCCTTCCGTATGGCCTCCTGTGTTCTTTTATCCCACTCGGTGGGCCGCCCGGAAGCGCTCTTCCCAGAACCGCAGGAGCACAGAGGTAGACTCAGCCTCTCCAACAGGAAGCTGTCGCTACAGGAACGCTCGCAGACGCTTTCGTCGCCCTGCGGTTCTCCGGGGCTGAACGGACGCTATATTTACCCATCGCTGCCCTACTCGCCAATCACCTCCCCTCACTCATCTCCACGCCTCCCTCGAAGACCAACCGTGGAGTCTCATCGTGTCTCCATCACAGACCTGCAGGTAGGTGGCCAGAGTTAATGGCAAGTGTGTTTGGAACTGTAGGGAAGTCTCTTACAAAAATATCAACCAATTAAATCTTTAAATAAAATAAAATATAAACATTTTTGGAATGATGCTCAATTTAATTTTTTATATAATATTTATTATCTAAATTATTAATATAAATTAATTCATAATTACATATTAAATATAAATATGACATATAATATAATATAATATATAAAATATACATTATAAAGCAATGGGGCTAGAAATTGCTCCTTGTGATCACAATATTTTAAATGATGTAGGCTTTTAAAAATGACTTTTTTTATAATTATGCTGAACTAAAATGTTACAAATATTAAAAATATATTTTTTATTACTCATAATACTTAATATCTAAATTATTAATAGCAATTAATTATTATTTACATATTAAATATAGATAATAAATATATTGTATAATATATAAAACTCACATTATAAAATATTTGTGATCTCTATATTTTAAATGATGTAGGCTTGTAAAAGTGGCCTGAAGCCTTGTAAATGTCATGGAAATAAAATATAGAAAGGTTTGTAATTATGCTCAACTCAAAAATGTTGCAAATATATTTTAAAAATATATTTTCTATTATGTATTTAATATTTAAATTATTAATGTCAATTAATTAATCTCTATATTTTAAATGATGTAGGCATGTAAAAGTGGCTTGTAGGCTTGTGATTGTCACAGAAAAAAAACACATTTTTCTAATTGCGCTCAACTCTAATGTTGCAGTTTTTTTAAATATGTTTTATATTATTATAAAATAATATATGGTTCCCATCGTGCCTAACAATTATGTAAGATTATATAACTGCACCACCAAAAACTAAACAATCTGATGCTGTAGCCTGAGATAATTTGAGCTGCTTGTGTGAGAACTGATGTTGTCTTTGAGAAGAACATTTCCTTTTCTTCATTCTCTGCAATGGCTTCAAGTCTGCAAGCTTGAGAGGGTATGTAAGGTAAGGTTACAGACAGGAGCAATTACCTTTCTCTTAATGGCGCTTGTCAAGAGAAAGTTCCCCTGTAGATAGGCCTGTCACGATAACAACTTTTTGTTGTGCGATATATTGCCCCAGAAATAATTGCGATAAGCGATATTATTGTCATTTTAAAGACCATTTTATGTCACTGAATATATAATCATAATGTAACAGCATAATAATGCAAGAAGGCCTACACTACCAAATGACAACAAACTTTACATTTTTAAGAACATTTAGATCATGGAAATTAAGTATCAAAATATTAGATACCTTAAAAAACCTGAATAAATAGTAAATAAAAATGTTTTAACAAAAAGTGCAAAGTAACAAGTAGAAAAAAAATGCTTCTGCTTTTCCATTAGGACATGAAATCAGCGAGAAATGTGCGTAGCTCTTTAGCTTGTGTACCTTTCTCAGCTCAAGTCAGTGTTATTTTAGTATCATTGATATGCTATTATAGTTTTTGTTAATGTTTTGAATTCAATTATTTTTTTTTATATTTTCTGTTTTCAAAGTTTTAGTAATTTTGTAGTGTATTTTTGTCATTTTTAGTTTTTGTCTATATAGTTTTTATTTATTTGTATTTATTCGTTTTAGTTGATTTCGTTTGAGTTTATTTTTAGTTAACTATAATAGCCCTGGCTCAAATACTCCCTTGTAATACTTCTGCTAATGCTTTTGATTCTTTGAACCTGGAATGTTGCAAGCATCGTTCTTGATGAGAGAATCAAGTTTGCATTTGCTGTGATCTTTGGCGACACAGGCTGAAGTAGTTGTCTTTCTTCAGTGACTACAGTTCCTTAAAGAAGACCTCAGTGTCATTGATTGATATCATTTGTTTCTTTATTTCAAAAGGACTGCGTGCAGCTCAACCAGTACAAGCTGAAAGATGAGATCGGAAAGGTATGTTTATTTTTCATTTATTATTTATGTATAGATCATTTCCTGCTGAGGCTGGGATGAAGGAACACTTTGCTGAAAGATTAATTTGAGCTGTTTTCCTTATTTCAGAACAAACAAACATCTCACATATTTCATATAGTAAAAAATGTGTGAAGTAACAAAATACGTGAGGCATACAGATGTACAGTTTGTCATCATAACAAAATGAACCACATGAAATTATCCCACATTTTTCTTTTTCTGGATCTTGGCTAATAAATAAATAAATACACATGAAATATTTGGGGTCGGTAAAATTTTTTAACGTTTTTGGAAGAAGTTTCTTATGCTCACCAAGGCTGCATTTATTTACCAAAAAAAAAAACAGTAAAAATAGTTAAATTGTGAAATATTATTGTAATTTAAAATAATGGGTTTCTATTTTCATATATTTTGAAATATAATTTATTCCTGTAATGGCAAAGCTGAGTTTTCAGCAGCCGTTACTCCAGTCTTCAGTGTCCAGAAATCAATCTAATATGCTCATTTGGTGCTCAGGAAACTTATTCTTCTTATTATTATCAATGTTTAATGTGCTATATTTATATGAAATAAATCTTTTGTAACATCATAACTGTCTTTACTGTCACTTTTGATCAATTCAAGCATCTTTGCTGAACAAAGGTATTAAAATATTTTTTTTACTGAACTCAAACTTTTAAACTTACATGTATATGACTGTATATGAGAATAATAAACAGAGCGATACAAGACATAACTATTTACAAATGTAAAAAAAAAAAAAGTTTTTTTAACAGGGTACCACGGAAATACCATAGAGTTTGAAATAACTTGAAATACTAATTAATTTCATATTATATGAATATTGTAATTATGTGACACCATGGGATAAATCAAATTTGCATGAATAGAATAGAATGGATTAAACCCATACAAAAAGTACAATGTTTTACCATGTTTTTTTGGACATGGCATCAAGTGAATGCCATGTTACACAGTACTTTGAGGAGTTCTTTGTAAACCATGTGTACCATAGTATTACCACAATACACTTTTTCTAAGAAGAGTACAATATGATAAGCGCATATAATTAATTTTCTAAAGCAATATATAGGGTAATGCAGTGAAGCAAGTGAAAGGAGCAGTGAAGTGTTTTCACTGTTGAGCTTCATCTCCATTCGAGGGCATGGAAAACTGTCAGCTTGGATGGGGAGATTCCTGTTCTGCTCTCATCTCTGTGTTTGAGGGTTGGATTCCCTGCTGGAATGGCAATCTGCTCTCCCAGTTGGGACCTGTGTGTGTGTGTGTAGGTTTGAGGGAGATAGAGACAGAACAGAAGTGGAATTATGCCTGTCTATGGCATTCATCATGACGCCGGCTGTTGCCTACTGGCTTAGTTTGGTTTACATGTTCTCCAGTTAATCAAACGGCACAAATGCTTGGCCACTTTAGCCTCCTGTTTCCCACCGTTTTTGCATGTTACTGAGTGTGTTTGCATTGCAATTTGATCCGGTTACAAGTTGTCATGATTGACGCGCCTTGTTTTCCTGATAAAGGGCTCCTATGGAGTTGTCAAGCTGGCGTACAATGAAGACGACAACACATACTATGTGAGTGACGCAACACAGTCTCATGATCTTGCACAAATATATACACACTTCATGTGTGAAGAGTAAAGAGCTAACATCCTAGTGTTATCAGTAATCATTAAATTATGATTGCCTAGTTGAGGTCGTCTTAAGCAGCCAGTCTTAAAATAGTCACATAGACACTGTCCATTGAGAAGTTCCTCATAACGGGTTTGAACATCATAATTATTATGTGATTTTAATTGAAGTAAAATGCATTTTAGCACTAGTGCATCAAAATAAAGAGCAAAGCATGCCACAGAGAATGATGGGAAATGTAGTATCTCTGTACAAGCCTCATAATCCAGCTAAATTAGTAGTCATTAATCATATATTACTTTATCTCTGTTCTCACTGTTTCTTACTGTATTGTAAGTATATATGTATATGTATGTGTAAATATTTTTTATTTGTAAATATCCATATATTGATTATTATTATTAGTAGTAGTTGTAGTATTAATATTAGTAGTATTATTAGCATTATTAACATGTATAATAATAATAGTAGCAATACATTGCTGTAATATTTTGATGTTAACTTAATTTTGATCATTCCTCTGATTATTTATTGCTTTTTTTCTTTCCTTTAATTATTTATTGCTTATTTTATCTTAATTATTTGTGCAGTTGTAGACCTCACACAGTGCTGGTTGTAGAATATACAGTATGGCAACAAAATGAAAAAGGAAAAGGATAGATAGATAGATGATAGTATAACTTACAGAAATTATTTTTCTTTTTTCTTTTTTTTTTTTGCCATGCTGTATTGTTGGGATTTGATAAATAATTTAATTTTAAAAATTTTGAAATAGAATATCCCTGATAATAGTGATTATGAACATGCTGTAATAATAATATTAATAATATGTTGCTGTAATATTACATTAAATATTAACTTCAAATTGCTCAATCCTCTGATTAATTGTTACTTGTTTTATATATATATTTTTTTTTGGGGGGGGGCAGTTGTAGTCCACTCTGTACTGTTTGTAGAATGGGGCATATGTCGCCCAGCACCAGTAATCCTCTGATTATTTATTGCTTTTTTTCTTTCCTTTAATTATTTATTGCTTATTTTATCTTAATTATTTGTGCAGTTGTAGACCTCACACAGTGCTGGTTGTAGAATATACAGTATGGCAACAAAATGAAAAAGGAAAAGGATAGATAGATAGATGATAGTCTTAAAATGGTCTTAAAATATTATTTTATTTATTTATTTTTATATGTATTTTTTATTATATAGATTACAGAAATTATTTTTCTTTTTTCTTTTTTTTTTTTGCCATGCTGTATTGTTGGGATTTGATAAATAATTTAATTTTAAAATTTTTGAAATAGAATATCCCTGATAATAGTGATTATGAACATGCTGTAATAATAATAATAATAATATGTTGCTGTAATATTACATTAAATATTAACTTCAAATTGCTCAATCCTCTGATTAATTGTTACTTTTTTTATATATTTTTTTTTGGGGGGGGCAGTTGTAGTCCACTCTGTACTGTTTGTAGAATGGGGCATATGTCGCCCAGCACCAGTAATGACACTGGATATCTGCTCTCACTCGCTCATTCTCACTGCTCTCCACAGGCCATGAAAGTGCTGTCCAAGAAACGACTGATGAGGCAGGCTGGGTTCCCGCGTAAGTGTCTGCTTTAAAGCAGATGGAACGCTCAGCGGGGTTTATGATTGAGTGTATGTGTGAGTGTATGTGTGTATGAGGTTGGGGGCGCAGTTTCATCAGCTAGCAGAATGCCCAATACTTCAACCTTTCACATGATTTCCTCTTGTGCTGGTTTAAACAGGCAGACCTCCTCCTCGTGGGGCAAAATTGGCCCCTGAGGGCCCTCCTCAGCCCAAAGGGCCTCTGGAGCGTGTTTACCAGGAGATAGCCATCCTCAAGAAGCTTGATCACCCTAATGTGGTTAAGCTTGTGGAGGTGGGTGCTTGTATTGTCAATATGCAGCCAAAGTGGCACTGTTGCACCTGTGTCTCCAGACTTTAGTGTGTAATTTATGCACCACTAGTGCAACCAAGTGGAATTAAAAAAATAATGACTATTTGCAAACAGGTTTCCTATCGTCCTCCTATTAAACTGGGATGGGGAAAATTACACACCTCATATTAAATTTGACATGAATAAAAATAAGGCTGTGAGAGATATAGAGATTCTTAAATGTTGTACACACTGTTGTACACACACAAAAAATGTCTCCAGACCTAAATGTTTAATTTTTGCACCACCAAGTTGAGTTAAAAATAATGACTATTTTCAAACAGATTTCCCAAACATTCCCACCATTGGAACAGCAAGTCCACTAAATTTATTAAACTGGGATGGGGAAAGTATTTTAAACTTGAAAAAAAATGACATGCATCAAATTAAATTTGACATGAATAAAAATAAGGCAGTGAGGAATAGAAATACAGTTTAAGCATAAATCTAAAAAATATTTAGTGTGGTTAATGCTTAAAAAAAGTATACCAGGAAAAAAAAGTTATTGTAAATATTTTTACTGGAAAATAAGACATAAATGCTGATTAAGAAAACAATTATTTGCAGTGTATATGATATGTACTGGCTAGTTATTATTTAGCCAATAAAAACACTTAAAGAAAGCTTTTCCACAAATTTCCAGTGGAACAAAAAGTCAACAAAACTGGGTTGTGATAATTAAATGTTGATGCACGTTGACATTGATGCAGTCTGTCATATTGATTGGACTGAATTTCTATCCCTCAAACCCAAAGATTTCATTTACATCAAATCAGATATTGCATAATATAAGGTCTATGCTGACTGGTTTCATTCCCTTTCTAAACCGCTTTGGTTTTTTTGTGCAGGTGCTGGATGATCCAAGTGAGGACCATCTGTACATGGGTAAGTCTGGCCAGATACTCATCGTCTTGGCAGATGCTACATACTTGCACATGCACAGTTTATTCTACTTTTCTGTGCTAAATGTATGTGAAATCAGAGAAGGTAATGCACAGCATCCTAACACTGTTTCCTGTGTGCTTTCACAGTATTTGAGCTTGTCAAACGAGGGTGAGTAAGCATGTTATTTCTGATTATAGCGGCGGCCCATGCTGTGCTAGTGTCACTCTGCTAGAGAAACTGTGTCTCGTTCCCCATGTGTTTGCAGAGCAGTGATGGAGGTTCCTACTGATAAGCCCCTGGATGAGGACCAGGCACGCTTCTACTTCCAGGACTTGCTGAGAGGAATTGAGTATTGTGAGTGCGGGAATTTAGCTAATGCTTAGCTGTGTGATCAATACTCATGATTGTTGCTAATACATCCAGATAAAGGGGCAAGGTACATTTTCATGGACTCATGCCATAGGCTGGGCTCTTTGTAGTCTCATTGAGCCAAACGTTTAGACTAAAGTCTTGTCAGCATATCTTATACTTCCCAAGAACCACCTACTTAGCAGTGTTATTTTAGTATTATTTATATACCATTCTAGTATTAATTAATATTTTGAATTAGCTTCTATTTTTATATTTTCAATTTTCAATGTAATTTTAGTTTTCATGCTTAGCCCATTGCTTATTCTGTCCAAGAACTGCCCAAATTAGCAGTGTTATTTTAGTATTATTTATACAATATTATAGTATTTATTAATAATTCGAATTAGCTTTAAATATATTTTCAGTTTACATTTCATTAGTTTTATTTCATTAGTCATTTTGTCATTTTTATTAGTTTTTGCTTGTTTTTTTAATATATATTTCTATATAGCTTCAATTAGTTTTATTTCATTTTTAGTTTTAGTAATTTCATTTTTATTAGTTTTTGCTTATTTTTTTATATATATTTCTATATAGCTTCCATTTGTTTTATTTCAGTTTTAGTTTTGTTAGTAATTTCATTTTTATTAGTTTTTGCTTATTTTTTTATATATATTTCTATATAGCTTCCATTTGTTTTATTTCAGTTTTAGTTTTGTTAGTAATTTCATTTTTATTAGTTTTTGCTTATTTTTTTATATTTCTATATAGCTTCAATTTGTTTTATTTCAGTTTATATATATTTCTATATAGCTTCAATTAGTTTTATTTCATTTTTAGTTTTAGTAATTTCATTTTTATTAGTTTTTGCTTATTTTTTATATATATTTCTATATAGCTTCCATTTGTTTTATTTCAGTTTTAGTTTTGTTAGTAATTTCATTTTTATTAGTTTTTGCTTTTTTTTTTTTTTATATTTCTATATAGCTTCAATTTGTTTTATTTCAGTTTTAGTTTTGTTAGTAATTTTGGTACTTAAACTTCTATTATTTCAGTTAGTTGCCAATACAACATTGTACATTTTCGTTTTCATTTAAGTTTTTCATCTAATATTTATAATTTTATTTCAGCTTTATTTCTATCAATTAACAAAAACATTTTTAATAGTTTTGTTAATAGATAGATAATAGTAATAGATCAAGAAAGTTCTTGACGTTTTTATCGGCAATGTACATCAAATTGTGAAACTAGATGCAGTCATCAAAATGCATTAAATAACGATTAAAAGTGATGGAAACTTCTCATCCTCAACAGTACATTATCAGAAAATCATTCATCGGGACGTCAAGCCTTCCAACCTGCTTGTGGGAGAAGATGGCCATGTTAAAATTGCCGACTTTGGGGTCAGTAACCAGTTTGAGGGAGCAGACGCCCTCCTGACCAGCACAGTTGGGACACCAGCATTTCTCGCCCCAGAGACCCTCTCAGAGACCCGCAAGAACTTCTCTGGAAAGGTTAAAAGCTCTATTCTCTAAGCTAGTTGCTAATATCCTGTCAGTCTTGCTGTCAATTTTGCTTTAGTCAAGTTAACATCATGTTTTTGTAGGCTCTGGATGTGTGGGCGATGGGAGTCACCTTGTACTGTTTTATCTTTGGAGTGGTATGCCCTGTTTTGACCTTTGTATATATCATGAAATATGTCTTGTAAACAGTAACAATTCAGCAAAACAAATTCTTTTTGACGTGGTCTTTGACTTTACTTCCTTTCTTTACAGTGTCCGTTTATGGATGAGCGTATTTTGAGCCTCCATCAGAAGATCAAGACCCAACCAGTGGAGCTTCCTGAGAAGTGAGTATTTCTCTTGAGCCTGAAAGACCTTCCCCATCCCGATGTTCTGACATTGATAGCATTTTTGTCCCACTTAACAGCGCGGACATATCAGATGACTTAAAGGACCTTCTTTTTAAAATGTTGGACAAGAATCCTGAAACCAGAATTACCGTCCCACAAATCAAGGTCAGTGTGACTTTTATTTCACCAGTGACTCCACCTTCAAGTTTAACAAAGGTGATATGTGTCATTTCCGAGCTATTAACGTCACCAGTATGTTTCCTGAATACTAGCCCTCATCTGTGATTGGTCAGAAAAATAAACAGTTTTGGCCTAGAATTACGCTATTGGTTGATGTTTCGTTTTTTACTTGTACATTTTTTGAAACCATACATGCTACTGTTCAAAACGTTGGGATCAGTAAGATTTTACTGATGGTTTTGAAAAAAGTCTTATGCTCACCAAGGCTGCATTAATTCAAAAATACATATACAAAAAACAGTAATATTAATAATAATATAAACAGTTATATAAACAGTAATTTAACTTTTTTTTTATTTATTTTTTAAATACTTTAAAATGTATTTTATTCCTATGATGGCAAAGCTGAATTTTCAGCAGCTGTTACTCCAGTCTTCCGTGTCACACGATCCTTCAGAAATGATTTAATTTGCTGATTTGGTGTTCAAGAAACATTTCTTATTATGAATTATGAAAAAACTTTGAAAACAAATATTTTAACCATGATACTTTTTTTCCCAGGATTCATTGATTAATGGGACGTTCAAAAGAACTGCATTTATTTGAAATAGAAAACATTATAAATATCTTTACTTTTACTTTTGATCAACTTAATGCATCCTTGCTAAATAGAAGTATTCTTTTCAATCTTACTGACCCCAAATTATTTGTACTTGGTAGTATATTTTTTCTTATGTTATAATTAGCCTCCATACTTTAAATGGACCAAAAATGAAACCCTTCTTTGTTCTTAAAAGATGATTTCAAAGCACTTCCTGTGTGAATATAGGACACTCCAGCTGCCTAGACACAGTCTTGAGTTAATGAATGATATCAAAGCAGGATTTCTGTTCCGCTGTTGTTGTTGTAGGTGCACCCATGGGTGACGCGGCACGGCGCTGAGCCCCTCCCCCCTGAGGATGACAACTGCTGCAGCCTGATAGAAGTGACAGAGGAGGAGGTGGAAAACTCTGTCAAGCACATCCCCAGCCTGGCCACTGTGGTGAGATCACAAGCCCCTAGTGGCCTATTTGTTTTTATGAATACACAAAATGTATTCAATGTTAATAACCTCATCAAATGTATAAACAGATTAATGACCCACACAGATTACAGCCCAAAGCCTGTTTTTGGAGTTACTTATACTTGCTGCATGCTCTCTGCTATAGATCTTGGTTAGGACTATGCTGCGCAAGCGTTCTTTTGGGAACCCGTTTGATTGGGGCCGCAGGGAAGACAGGAGTCCCGCCGCACCAGGACACACGCTATCGTAAGTCTTGCTCATTAAGGATGGGCTATAACTGTAACAGACTTCCTGAACCTAGACTTGGAACTCTGCAGTGGATTCGGTGGTCATAGAAATTTGAAAATGGTTTGCCTAGCTTGTTTGACAGTAATTTAATTGGAACTACTAGTATAGATGTACTATTCTATTTAACTACACTAGGTCATACTGTAATACTATAAGGATAAATCTTCAGTGTATTTTGAGGTAAAATAGAGCTTAATGTCTATGCTTAATGTCTAATGTCTAAGAGCTTAATGTCTAATGTCTCAAAACTCATCTGTTTAGCTGTGCATTTATTGAATGAGCACTGTGCGATGTCCGAACTGATTGCACTATATTTTATGTATAATCGTTTTCTATTCTTAACCGTTTTAAATTCATTTTAAACCTCTTAAATAAATGTTTTAAATCATTTTCAAAGTTTTTAAATTCCTTGTTTTATTGTTGTGATTATTTTTTTTCTTTTCTTTTATGTAAAGCACTTTGAATTACCATTGTGTATGAAATGTGCTATATAAATAAACTTGCCTTGCCTTGCCTTGCCTTATGCAACGTTTCCACAGAAAATAATTTTGACTAGTTTCTCAATTGCTTAAAAATGAATGAAAAATGTGTTTACAGTAATGCACTTAAAATAGAAGCCTGGCAGGCAGGCTGTCCATTTATTAATATTTTTATTCAGCAAGGATGCATTAAATTTATCAAAAGTGACAGTCAAGACATTTATAATGTTACATAAGATTTAAAAAACAAACAAACAAACAAAAAAAAGCTGTTCTTTTAAACTGTTCGTCAAAGAATCCGTAAAAAAAATAAAATAAAATAAAATGAATTCATAGTTTCCTCAAAAATATTTGACAGCACAACTGATATTTGACACTGAAGACTGGAGTAATGGCTGCTGAAATTTCTGCTTTTTCATTACAAATAAATTACATTTTAAAATATATTACACTAGAAAACTTGTTTTTATTATTAAATTGTAATAATATCTCACAAATATCACTGTTTTTACTGTACGTTTGATTAAATTAATCCAGCCTTGGTGAGCATAAAAGACTCTTTTCGACTCCAACCTGTTGAATGGTAGTGTACATTTTTAATGCACTAAATCGTCAGTAAAATGTATGTCATTTAACCTCTAAAGTTTAAATAATTTTTTGAGATGAGACTACATTTCTAGATGAACTGTTATGTGTTATTAACCGTCAGTTAATAAATGAATGTTCTTGAACTTACACAACACACTATCGCATTATGAAGCCAAAACTACAATGGTCACATTAAACATGTTTATTGTGTTTTCAGTTAGCTCACAATTACCAAACTAACCGTGTACCCTACTAAGCTAAAATACTTTAAACAATTTAAATATGAAACTTTCTTAAAAAGTAAAATTCTATATAGTATGAATGTGAGTAGTATCAATGTAATCCTGACGTACTACAATCGTCATTGCCATGTGACCTAAAGCGTTAAGGCTGATTTATACTTCTGCGTCGGACCTACGCCGTAGCGTACGCATAGACGCACACCTATACGCCGTAGCCTGACGTGCACCTCTCCAAAAATCTAACAGCGCGTCAATTCTACGCAGACCGCAAGCGCTGTGATTGGTCTGTAAGAACCCCTCCCTCCATATGTACTTGAGTTTTGTGTGTGTTTATGTGCACTTTAATATATTTTAATGTTACACCTTCTTATATAAAATAAAACAAAGCAAAGAACAAGTGTCTTATCATTTATTATACTACACAGCATTATACATCAGTAGTTGTCCGCAACAAACAATGTTGATCTGCCGTGGTACAAGTCCTTGTGCAGATTGAAAGAATGCCATCATCTCCTGTTCCGTTGTTGTCTCCTTTTTGTAGTTTTAAATAATGATTTAATGATTTGATATTTATTTGCCGCCGTCACGGCTATAATGCTTCTCCGACGAGCCGCTTCTTCTTCGGCTTTTGCCGTGGTACTGCGGGTTACACCAGCAACATGCCCGTGGACACTGCTGACTAGCGGTTTGCATGTGTACTGCACGTTGACGCGGACAACGACGCAGAAGTATAAATGAAAACTGACGCATAGCCTACGGCGTAAAGGCTACGGCGTTGGTCCGACGCAGAAGTATAAATCAGCCTTTAGTTATGTTGCTTCACTGCCATTCACAAATCCTCTCTAGTGGCCTCATGGGATAGTAAAGTGATCAGATCAGATGCACACCTCAGAATCTCACCGGAAGTAATAGAACTTCCGGGTACTTTTTGCAAAATGTCTTAATGCGGGGGTCTCCAAACTCGGTCCTGGAGGGCCTGTGTCCTGCAGAGTTTAGCTTTGGAGATCTCTGGTCTAATGAATACTGTGAATTCAGACACCTATTATATTATTCAGATGCCTATTATATATACAAAGCTGTAGAGTCGTTTTTATCATTTTATGACTCATGAGCGCCCCCTTGCAGCTATGCTCCCTGTTGAAGCTATCATTGCAATGCTTTGCTATGAGCAAAGTAGTAATATCTTACAATAATAGCTTTGCTAAGCTGGTTAAAGGGATAGTCCTCCCAAAAATGAAACCTTTTACTTACCTTCATGTCATTTCAAACCTGTATGACTGACTTACTTCTGTAGAACATAAAAGAAGATATTTTGAAAAATGTGGGTAACCAAGTAGTTGACGGTAGCCATTGACTTCCATACTATTTTTTTTTTCATACTATGGAAGTCAATGGCAAAACCTACAAAACCTTCTTTTGTACTCAACAGAAGAAAGAAATTCATACAAGTTTGGAATGACATGAGGGCGAGTAGAATTTTAATTTTTGAGTGAACTATCCCTTTAACCTATAGTTGTTGTTGATATTTAATAAACAAGGGACAAGCATTAATTATTTTCTGTGGTAATCGTTAGCATATTTGAGTTATATTTAATGAAATATTCCTTTAAGGCTTTTTTAGTCATGTTTGCAGGCAGGAATATTTAATAGAAACGCTCCGATTTAAGAATTCTCACGTATCCGCATCTCTCCTGCCGTCTAGAAAAGGGAGAGCAGGGAGTTTGAAATACTGCCGCAATCTCGGTACCCCCAGGTAAAGCTCCACTAGCCTGTTAGCGCTCCACATATGTCCTGTTCACTCTCCTCCACCTATATTATATGTAGGAGATAATGGTCATGCCCATTTTGAATGATCTGCACTTAAAAGGAATGGTGTGGTGTTTTTTAGCATGCTCAAAACTATTATCATTCAGATGGCTTAAAGAATAACAAGCTTTTCCGCTTGTATTTTCCTACCTGATAAACAGCATTTTATGCATGTAATATTTAAAATATTCATGATATTCCTTCTTAAAAACCTTAGTAGCTGTACAAGCTACTTTTAATAATCAACCCTTAGTACATCAAGCATTTATATTTTGCATGTAATGTTTTAACAGATAAAAAATAAGCTCATGTATGTCCTATAAGTTCATGGGCAGTTCAGGATGATGTTTTCCAGGTCCTTCTATATCTGGGAGCATCCTGATTTGCCGCCCAACCATGGCTGATTGGTTTGTCGGACTGGGTGCATTTCGCATGCGGCGCTGCAGTCCTGGCCTTCCCAGTCTAACCCCTTCGTTAGGTTTCATGTGCCTCTTTCCGACCCGAGCATATGACTGATGCGATGCCATGTACTCCCCCTCGCGCTGACTTAATTTCCCCGCTGCCTAACAATTCTAGCTGCACTTAACAACAAGTCTGCATTGCCGTAGACTGGTTGACACGCCTGGAATGTGCAGTTATTTTAAACCTCCACATTTGTCTGTTTCCTAGGAAACAAGAGAGCGAGGAAGGCATGCGGAGTATGGACCTGCCCTTCGTGGGCGAGGATGAAGTTCTTTCCTGATAGTTGTGGGTGTCTTGCTCGGGGGAAATGCGCAAGGATGGGGCTGCCGTGGCTTCCGGAAGGCCAGGATATGGACCTGGGGCTGGGGCGTGGACGGAAAGATGGAAGAAAGGAAGAAGCTCTTGTTGGATTGTTTATGTGGAGGGTGCCCACCCACTCATGCATGCATTTGTACAGTCCACAGCAGCATGCACTGTATCTGTCTGCCCAGGTCTCTGCCATCTCTCAGGACCTGTTTTCTGTGTGCGCGCGTGTTTTTACTCTCCTCTCCGGCACGGAGACTCTGCTTTACTCCCCTACTTCCGCTAGGGGGCGCCACCGCAAAGCAAAACAGAATTTTTGGGGAAAAAATGTACAATTTATTAGGTTTGTCCATCACTCATTAATTAGAGAGACATGCTACTTTATTGCAGTTTTACAGATCTTATAGATTATTAGAACTGAATTTGAAAGTAATAAAATAAAGACTTTCATCAGAAATTAATTTCTCGAAAGAAATCTTGAAAATCAGGTTTGTTTGGTCAAATAAATTAAATAATGTATATAAATAAACATCAAGGCAAATAAAATAATAAATAGCCTTTTCACATTTGCGGACAACAACCTTTAACTAGTTTTTAATTCTTAATGGGTGATTTCTTAGGTTTGTCCATCACTTATTAATTAAAGGGTTAGTTCACCCAAAAATGAAAATTAGCCCATAAATTACTCACCCTCAAGTCATCCTAGGTGTATATGACTTTCTTCTTTCAGACGAATCCAGTCGGAGTTATATTAAAAATTGTCTTTGATCTTTCAAGCTGTTTAATGGCACTCAGCGGGTGTTGCATGCATCGATTGTATTGAGATTGTATCACTGCCTGATTGTGAATTATATCATATGATTTGAAAATGATGAAATAAAAGATGGCTCAGACTTTCATCAGAGATTAATTTCAAGTTGAAATTAAATCAGGTTTGTTTGATCAAATGAAGATAGTAAATAATAAATGAATTAATAATAAAATACATGCAAGTATACAAAAATTAACACATTAAATAATAAATAGCTTTAAATAATGAAAATCTTCAAATTTGCTGACAATAACCTCTAAGAAGTTTTTAGAAGAAATGTTTGATTTCTTAGATTTTTCCATCACTCATTAATTAGAGACATGCTGCTTTATTGCAGTTTTACAGATCTTGTTAGATTTTTAGAGTTGGATTTAAAAAAAATAAATGGAAGAAAAAAACTTCAGAAATTAACCATCAGAAATTCATTTAAACTTCAACTGAAATTCTTCTCAAAATCAAGTTTGTTTAATCATTAAGTAAAATAAAAAAAAACGATCAAAAATAAATAAAAAGACAAATATTTTTTTAATAATTCAACTTCTTAAAATTCGCAGTCAGGAAATGTGTATAATGCCATTTAGGGAAAATGCAGATATGTTTGTATGTGTGTGTTTGTTTATATATCAAATCACACAGCTTTGTGTTTATATTATAATATTATAATGTCAGCGCTGTAGATGGTGAACAGGACCAAACCTGGAAACTATCTTTTTTTTTTTTTTTAGCAACAAAGAGAGTGATTTATGGTCATAGCATGTTTTTGAATAGCAGGTTAATTATTTAGGGCACAAATAACCTTTAGGGAATGCCACAATAGGCATTGTGACCATTCTTCTTGTATGTAACTTGACCCTTTTAATCATGAAGATAACAGTTTCTTACTGTAATTTCACTTCGTTTTCCTGTTTAGAATTACCAAAATGCCATGTAGTAGTGCATTTCCGACTTCGTCATGATCAGAGTGAGTTCGTTATCAGCATTTCTATATAGGACGCATACTCTATGAAGTTCTTGAGGAAATACAATAACTTTGTGCAATCTATGCATGACTTTTCACTTAAGGAATCAATGTTAGTCAGTCTGTTTTGACACAAATATATGCCTTACATTTTCATACTCATAACTGTAGCATAGATCATCAGTACATGTGTAGAGTTTTGGTACGATAGAATTGTAGATAAAGTAGAATTGGAAATTTTAGATAAGCTGTTTTAGTAGACAGTGTAGAACTATAGTAACTTGCTTAAGCTCAGTTTTAAAGTTAGCAAAAATAGTCCAAAGCCCTGTTGAGATTTTCTCAATGTGCACTATGGTCATATATCTCCTGTGTTGATTATTTTTCTATGATTGTTTGTTTGCTCTATTTAGCTGTAGTTTCAAAATGTCGGAGTGATGGTGCTTTTCCACCACTGAAATTAATAACATAGTTCATGCTTCCATGTATCAGGGGAGTCTTTTCTGCACAAGTAGGTTGAATGTATGTTGTTGGTTTACCTTGTAACACTATAAGTCAACTATATACTGTTGTTGTTTTTTTTTTCACTTTTTTTATTTCCTGCATGTTAAACTCTGCTGTATTTTATAGTAATTGTTTTCTGTGACATTCTTTCTCTGTCTTTAAGACTTTTATTTAAATCTTTTGTGTAGGTACTATTACTATGCATAAGAAATCTCACATTGTGGTGCAGTTCTGGACTGTCGGTTGGTCTCTTGTGTCTGTTCTATTGGATGTTGATTGTTGAAGGAAACTTGTAATATTGACTTCAATATGCATGTGCACCGACCGAAGCTGGTTATACAATATCACTACTGTATATGTAAGTGGACATTTTAACAGATTTTGATGACCTTTAAATAACATATTCAGGACCAGAGAAGCACCGTTCCCCTTTTTTGAATAAGTATTTATAGGGAAAATCTGAAAATATATGGAGATTTATCTTTGCACATTAGAATGTTTAGCAGAATTCAGATTACTTTACATGAAAGATGTAACCATGTTTTCTTTTTCTGTACAATCAAAACTAGGAGCAAAATTCACCAGCTGAAATCAAAGACAGCATTTTTCTGTTTCCTATTTACAGCCACTTTCTCAAAGAATGACATTGCGAACGGTACGTTGAATAGAGGTGTATATTGAAGGGAACGCTGTACTGTATATTGATAACTTCTTAACTTTTTAACAGGTTATTCTGCCCAGTATTTCTTGAAGGGCTAGAGTAAATGTTTGCATCCATATCACACTAGCGACTGCATTTGAGCACTGTTGAGAGGGCTGTTTACAGGGATGTTACATAAATGCATGCCGTCACAATCACGCAGTTTCATTCAGCATGTTTTAGAAGCATGTTTGAGCTCTTTACAGCATCTTCTGATCTCATTGCTGGTCATTCTATATATTGTATCCAGTTGATTATTTGAATAAATTAAAGTTGCCTTTACTTTTGTTTTATTTTTATTTAGCCATTATTATTATTAATAGTAGTAGCAGTCGAAATAGTATTGTTTTGACATGGTTAAATGCCTTCAAGACGTATCTGCAAAATGTTGAACATTTCTGTTAACATTTATCTTGTAGTTCAATGTTTTTCTTTTTCCCCTTCTACAAATTTTTCCCAAATGTTCCTTTTTATTGAAAATAAAATGTCAGGTAGTTTTAATATAGTAAATAGTACAGGGATGGTTCACCCAAAAATAACAATTATGTCGTCATTTACTCACCCTTAAATTGTTCCAAACCTATATGAGATTCTTTCTTCCGTTGAAAACAAGACATTTTTTTGGAAGAAAGTTGGTAACCAAACAGTTGCTAGTAGCCATTGACTTCCATAGTATTTTTTTCCCTACTGTGGAAGTCAATGGCTACCGGCAAGTGTTTGGTTACCAGCATTCTTCAAAATATCTTCTGTGTTCAAAAAAAAAAAAAACATACAGGTTTGGAACAACTTGAGGGTGAGTAAATGATGAAGGAATTTTCATTTTTGAGTGAACTTTCCCTTTAAAGGAATATTCTGTCATCTCACTTTGTTCTATACAGAAACCAGAAACCCATACAGGTTTTGACGGCAGGAACATAAGTAAACTATGACACAATTTTTATTTTGTCGAATGAACTTTTATTTTAAACAAAGAACTATTCATGTAGATTTTGATACATCACTAGAGGGTGTCAGAGGACAGTGCTCGTGCATTCTACAAACACATAAAACAAAATATAACACACAAAATATTTATCTTTCAGTGTAATATTTAAAAAAATAAGATGGAAAATCTTATTTATAAACTCAAAAATAGATATAAAAAAAATTAGATAAAAGATATTAAATACGAGATGCATTTGTAAACTTAACTGCCATATCCACACATTCATCATCAAAATATGTAGGACATTCTGCGATACGTTTTGCCCGGAAATTAAAGATAATCTGTAGCGTGTGGGAGGCGCCACAAGATCGCAGTCTATGCGCAGATATGTGGAATTTATGATGAGCGTGAAGGCTTCACCTCGCAGGTTCCTATGGCAACTGATCAAACGCTTCTTGACTTGAGCTCTGCGCGCGTTCTGTGCTTGTGTACAGCAGAACGCAGTGGCGCGCGGATCAGCGGGAATATGCGCACTGAACTGCACGCCTGTCCGCGACAGAAGCCTTCACAGCAGAGTAGATGTACCAGCAACATCTAAGGCACGATTTCGCAGGAAGCTGCCAGAAAGAATTTTGAGGGAGGCAGGTGGATTTGTAAGTAACGTTACATGTTTTCATTTCTTTTATTTAAATTAGAGATGCCATTGCGGAATCTATATTGTTTAGCTCATGTTTGACTATAGATGATTGGTCGTTTGTTTGTTTACTGAACATTTGTAATTATTTAGATATTTGTATTTATGATGTGTGTAGATATGTAGATTTAATTTGTATATTTATATTTATTTAATCATAATAAATGCTAATATAAATACATATAAAGTATAGTAAACTTGAAAATAATTTTTATTGTTTAAAGTGATTTTAATTATAGGGTTTTCAATCCTATTTCGGTGTAAAACTTTTATCTCGAAAGATGGTCTGGAACAAATCATGTCATAAATGTCATAAACACAAGGAATTTACAAGCAAGTCTTCTAGCAAGTTTAGTTAGGAGCCGTTATACTGTTGCTTTATCTTTAGAAGTGCTGACCAGAAAAAATGCTGCTTAGTCATTCAACACTTGGTTTAGGATGTGTTGAATTTTATGAGATTGTAGTACATATTTAGATATCATTTGCTATCCAGTATTTCATAGTGTGCTTGTGTGGTCTCTTCTAGAGGCAGTCGCAGGAAGCTGACCATCACCACCTCCTCGTGATGCACATGAACAGCTTGTTGAACCGATGGAGTAAGTATTTATAATTTTACGTGTAAAAAAATACTTTCCTTATCTGCTCTTTTGTTGGAAAGGACTGTGCCGAACATATTTTGGCTACCTGTATGTGTAAGCTATATGTTGATGTGTATTTTGTTTGGTCTGAGAGGGATATGAACCCTCTAATACAGTGAATCTCAACCTTTTGGCGTACCGGACCCCAGTCCAATTCAGAACCATCCTCAAGGACCCCCAGAACAAAATTGACTCATCTATGTATCATTTGTATCTTTGTGAGGACCAAATGCAGTCAAGTATAATTCAAATTAGTTGACTTGTCCAGTATTTGGCCATATCATCAGCTATATTGGATTTTTCTTTCATGGGAACATGTCATGTCACAAAAATTCATACTTTATACGGACCCCCTGGCCTTACGTCAAGGACCACTAGGGGTCCACGGACCCCTGGTTGAGAAACACTGCTCTAATAGCCTGGGTTAAAATTAGTTGCAAGTTAGGTCAGAAGTGTGGATTGTATTGCAGAGGAAAATGACAGTTAGTCTACCCGTCTGCCCAGCTGTTACTGAATGGCATATGTTGGAAATTTATTGCTGTTGGCAAATATTCAATTGAATATATTACAAATGCAAATGCATACAAAGATGTTGTTAGGAATGTTTCATGTTACAGGCTATTAAAATCATGTGTGGTTGACTTATTTGTCTTGTGTCTATCCAGATTTATATTATGTTTTGCGAGATTTGATATTATGTATTTGTGAAGAGTTGTTGAGAGTTTAGAGAGTACGAATGGAAATGGAGGCGATAAATCAGATATTTATATCTACTGAGGAACAGACCGCGGGGGTGTCTACCAGCGCTGTCAGTTTAGCACAAACAGAAACATTGCAGAAGGATTAAGCCATATATGAAAACACAGAAATTTCCCGAACCATGTACAGGATGTAGGAAATCAACTTTTATGAAGTTTGCAGCAAAATCTGTTGAAAACTGACTGGTTTTGATTTGCTTTGCTGTGAGTTACTGTACAGGAAGAAAACGCTGAATGATTTCCTCATAGACTATTGTAAGCGCATTTCTGTCAGTGCATTTTTTTGTACTTCCAAACATTTCCCTGACATCACTTTTTTTTTTTTTTTACATTTTTGAAAAAAGTATTTTATGCTCACCAAGGCTGCATTTATTTGATAATACAGTAAAAACAGTAATATTGTGAAATATTATTACAATTTAAAACAATTGTTTTCTATTTTCATTCATTTGAAAATGTAATTTATTATTTGTAATTTGAATTTTCTGCAGCCACCATTACTGCAGTCTTCAGTGTCACAAGATGTCTGTTTATACAGACAGACTGTTTGCATTTCATATTGTTGTTAATGGGTTCGGCCAAACTAACTACATCTCAGACCTGAGGTCAATGACCTTTTTGACAGTTCTGTGATGTCATCCAAAAGAGGAATGTTTGGAGCAGAACTGCAGAATCTCATAGTTTGTCCCACTTTTTGGACAGGATGTCCAGGACATCTAAAATGACAGCTGGACCTTGCTTAGTGCTGCCATACTTTTGCTCCATGTCTTTCAGTTAATTCAAAATGAAAGTTGTTGGAATCACTGTTGACCGTCCAATTTGCAGTGGAAGGTCCTCAATAGAAGGTTAAAGGTCATCTGTGCAGGCTAAACAAAGAGAACAAGGGCTTTGATTCAGTATGTCTCTGAGTTAGCCAGCTGTATTCTGGCAAATCAGTAGCACGCAACCCGCTAATGATCTCAGGCTGTAGCTAATTTCTCTTTTTCTTGATGTAAATCATGATAAATTTCCTTTGTGGAACATCAGATGACCTTTTCCCTCACGTTTTGCGTGGTTGGAGCTGGTAAGTCTTTAAAGATTTGGTTGGAGCTGCGTGTTAACTTGGTAGATCCGTCCATACATGTGCAAATGGAGATCAAGTGTCTTAAAACCCTTGAATAACGGAAAAGAGTCTCATTTTCACAGGTGTCGGTGACTTTGCTGTTTAGCTTAAGAGTTTCCAATCGTATCAGTTTTTTAGGCCACAGTTGTGGATGTTGCATTTCTGGGACTTGATGTTTCTGAATTTGGTTCATGTAGTTTTTCCATATAGTTCTCTGTGGTCTTTCTTCAAGGCTTTATTTAGTGTGTCTTTCATCATGATGTTGATTTCTAGTCTGGTAAGACCAGCAGATAGGTGTTTTTTCTCATGTCCAATGCTTCAGAATCTTCACAAAGTGTGGAATTTCACAGAATGGTGTCTCGGTATGAACCGCACCCTACGTGTGTGTTTTTACACTGCCGTTCAAAGTTTGGGGTACTATTCTTTAATATTTTTGAAAGAAGTGTTTTATGCTCAATGCTAAGGCTGCATTTATTTGATCCAAAATATAGTAAAAACAATAACATGTGAAATATTATTACCAAATAAAATAACTGTTTTCAGTTTGAATATATTTTAAAATGTAATTTATTCCTGATGGCAAAGCTGAATTTTCAGCAGTTTTTGCTTCGCTCCAGTCTTTAGTGTCACATGATCCTTCAGAAATCATTCTAATATGCTGATTTGGTGCTCAAGAAGCATTTCTTGTCATTTTTAATGTTTAAAACATTAAATATTTTTGCGAAAACAATGAATTATTTTTTTCAGGATTCTTTTATTAATAGGATGTGATTAGATTTTTGTAACAATTTTTTTTGTCATTCTTATTCAACTTATGCACTTTTACTGAATAAAGTATTAATTTCTTTAAAAAAAAATAGTACTGACCCCAAACGTTTGAACAGTAGTGTACATGGCCTTATATCACTGTACTCAAATGCCTGACCTCTCTGACTTCACGGTACCAGATTTTTCCAGTGTTTGCCTGAGCTCAGCTATCCATGTCCTGCAGGGCAACTCCTTTACTCAGTTTTTTTCTAAATGAAACTACTAACCTGTGATTACACCCTGAAGACGTCTGTTTGGTGTAAAACAATCGGTTGTTGGACCCCATCTAGTTCTGACATTGATTGATACTTACACTTGACAACATTCCAGAGTCAGACAGTTGATCATTTCACTCGGGTTGTGCTGTTTTCTAACATTTCTACGCCAATCCAACGACAACTTTTCAGTATTCAGTTTGGCTCTTTAAATAGGAATTGATAAAGGACTTAATAAAGTAGGAGAGAAACTATTAACCCTGAACACCAAAAGAACAAGTAACTATGAAAACAGTTCGTAAACTAACATTAATAAGATGGTCTGCCAAATGTTTCGCTCTTCCTAGCTGTGAGGCTGCACATGCCGTTCTGCATAATGTTAGGAAAGAATGTTTATTTTTTCAACAATGCTCCTGATCATGTCCAAACTTAACAGTTTGTGCGTCACATTTCAGTGCAGATTGTTGTGTGAACCTGTCAGAATGTAATGCAGGGAGTTTATGAAAAGGCATGAGGCAGTGCCAACTAGATTTCATTATAATAATCATTTCACATGCAAAGTGCTTGCTTACATATCGACGTCCATAAAAGCACAGCACCAAAAAGAAGAAAGTATGTTTAATTCTAATCATCAGAGAGGCTGGAAAATGACATAAAAACTAAACAGTTCACTCAAATATGAAAATTTGCTGAAAATGTACTCATTCAAGATGAGTTTAATCAGAACAGATTTGGAGAAATTTAGCATTCACTTGCTCACCAATGGATCCTCTGCAGTGAATGGGTGCCATCATCCATTGGTGAGCAAGTGAATGCTAAATTTCTCCAAATCTGTTCTGATGAAGAAACCCATGTCTAGTTGTACTGATATTTGACCTGCATTTATAGGAGTGTCTCGGTCCTGAATGTGTAAAATATGCATGTGCCCATCTGCATTACCTATGATGACTGAGACCTGCTTAACCTATGCATGACTGGGTTATTATCGGCCAAATCAAGCACTAGAGATGGTTACTGATCTGAAATGACACAGATTTTCACAGCTTGTGGTTTCAGGAACCATCTGTGAGACGATATTGCACTGAATATTCTAGCATAAAATTAAGCTTCGAGATGAATGTAGCCAAACTGTAAACTTCATCACCTCTTTTAGTTTTTTTCTCACTCTTTCTGTCTCATTCACACACTCCAGAGCTCACGTCATAGAAAGCAGAGGGGATGTGACCCAGGGAGCTTCAGTTGCTACACAGACAGAAGGAAACTCAATAGATCTCTAAAGGAGAGCGCCCAAAGTGACACACACGAGAGTTCTTGCCTTACACTGAATTATTTACTGTAAAAATGCCCTGTTTTAACCCTTCAGTTGTTTAACAGCACATGCTGGCCAATGTTCTTTTAGTTTCCTTTTCCTGTGTGGACTTTTGATTATGGAAAAAGCTACCTGAATGGCAGGAAGCTCATTTTTCAGTAGTCTAAACCATTTTTTTTCTCCATTCCAAACAAAGTTTGCTTTGTTTCAGACTCTCTTCTTACATTTTCCAATCGACTCAAGAGGTGAAATTCACTCTTTCAGTAGGAGCGCTGTGAGTAGTTGAAGACTAATTGAGTAATTTCTTTCTATCCTTCACCCCAAGGTAGATCAAACAAATGCTTTGCGTCACACCACATCTGAATCCATTCTACACTCGCTCCCCAAACCGTGTTGGTTCTCTTTCCATGTCTCATTTACATTAACATACCCGCAGACACTGAAAGAGACACCCTGGCTTGCTAAACCCCCTCAAAGACCACGTCAGTCGATCCTACGTTCACCATTGTCGTTTGCATGTGAGAGAGGCAAGGTACGTCTGGCAAAGCAGGTTTCAGGTGTCACGCATAATGACAATGACATCTGAGGATGGCTTTAAGACTCAGTGCATCCGTGTGCGTGCGTGTGCATGGGTTTGTGCGTGATTGTACAAGATATCAAATATCAGCCAGATATGCATTGGCAGTAATCACTCTCTCTTATCGTACAGGATTAGTGAGTTTCTTATCTTATTTGTTGTTGTATGAACTTTGATGGTTGGATGAGCTTTCTATCTTTGAGCGCTGTTTAGTTTAGGTAATTGTGCTAATGCTTTTAGATGATAGCAGAAATATCAAGATTTAGGCCCTGATGGATCTTATTGCATCTTACGTATATACGCCGCCATAATGCATTCAAGGAAGTTTTCAGAAAATTTTTTTGGTTTGTTCGCACCATGTACTGCACCAGCATTTAATATTATCCAAGCGTGACAAAGAAAATATGTCAATCAACACTTTTTGTTAGCATAGGTGCACTGCACATATGCCATAGTTTTTCCACAAACTATCTTTACAAAAAGTACTGTTCTGGTGCTGTGGTACATCAGATGGAAATTCCATGGTATTTTAATACAATGCATTTTGTCTCATTTTTATTGCTACTATTTTGCACATTTTTAGTAATAGTAAAGTCATCAAAGCTATTAAATAACACAAGCATCTTTTTTGTATTGAAAGCAGCTCTGTACAAACACACACACACATACTTTTCATATATACTTTTAAATATTAAATGTTAAAATATTAAATTATATATAACATCTTAGTGTAATATTTAATATTTTAAATATGAAGTAATATTACATTTCAGTATTTCAGATAAATAATTTTAGTTTTATAAATACATTTATATGCTGCCACATTTTGTACGTTTGTTTAAAACACTAGTATTACATGATTAATTGATTAGCATATTCATATAATGTGGTATTTCCATGTTACTTCAAAAGAATACCTTGGTATTTCCATGTTATGTCCAAAAAACAAGGTAATAGCATAATACTTTGTGGTTAGTGCACTGTCATATGTAAAAATTAGACAACAACAAACAATTACAAGCTCAAAAACAATGTCAAAACATTTTAAAAGGACTGAAAAAAAAGGATTGACCAAAACGTTTTAAAGGACTGAATTATATATCTTCCAGACAAACATCAGAGCAGTGATCTAACCTGGTTATTTTATCTCTCTCTCACAGCAAATCCCTGAGACTATGTAATGATTACAGCCTTTTCTCAGTATGTACGGCCAGCTAGCTATCTAACTAGAGTTTATGCTGAGCTAACACTGATATTATGGACTTTGCTTTCCAGAGCTTTCCAGTGCAGTAGCAATGCGTCATCACCTTCCGGATTATTGCAACTGGTAGAGAGCTTTGAATATCTGAGAGTAATGTTAACACATACAGTATCTGATAAAGTGTGAGGGAGTGTGTTTGTGTCAGTAGCCTGGGGTCAGACGTTGGTGTGTCGGTGGCAGCTGATGGATAGAGGTTGTGGCAGGACCATCACTGAGAAACCTTGTAGGATGTTGCGTGTGGAAGCCAGTAAACATATTAACGGGTAGTTAGGACACCCAGTGCTCTGGGCACCAATGATGACGCGCAATGATGTAATCTCCAGCTGACACGCTAATACACAATTCAATAAAATGTCCAGACTTATCCACACTATGCACACATGTACACAAACAGTTTTTTCTTGTAGAACACATGGTCAGCCAGAAGTTTGTGCTAGTGTAGTACATAAAATCATGTGTTATCTATGTTCAGCATCCTAAGTCTAAATATTAACCTCATGTTTCCTCATAATGTGAGATCATCCAATGAGGACATTTGCAAGTTCTTAGGATATGGTTAATTATGTAATGTCTGCTTGGCCTAAATAAAGCCAAACTATCTTTAAAGGCACACTTACAGGATAGCTTGCCTATCTAGACCTTTAAGTATGGGCACAAAGTCCACTTTGGTCCACTTTGCAGCTTATTTGGGCCAAAAACTGCCAATGTAGATAGGAAAACATCTGGCCAAAAATCAGAGCGACCAACCACAGGTTGCTTTTCAAGGTGGGTAAATCTGAAACCGGATATAACTGACAACAAAGGAGAATATGCAGGTGTGCTCAAGGGTGTCTCGTTTACTTGTTTCAAAGATTTGATGTCATCGCAAGCTCATTGAACTGTATCAGCCTGGTACCTTGGAAATACAACTTGGATGCTGCAAATTATGACTATAGTAGGGGTGGACGATATAGCAAAAAAAGCAAGAATCACAATATTCTTAAAGGGGTCATATGATGCGATTTCAAGTTTTCCTTTCTCTTTGGAGTGTTACAAGCTGATTGTGCATAGATAAGATCCCTGAAGTTGCAAAGACTAAAGTCTCAAAACCAAAGAGATATTCTTTATCAAAGTTAAGACTCTGCCACGCCCCCCTAAAACGGCTCGTTCTAACACACCCCCACATATCTACCTCACTATGTGGAAACATTTGCATAATGCCACCCAAATGTGCAGGAAAACATCTGGCCAAAAATCAGAGCGACCAACCACAGGTTGCTTTTCAAGGTGGGTAAATCTGAAACCGGATATAACTGACAACAAAGGAGAATATGCAGGTGTGCTCAAGGGTGTCTCGTTTACTTGTTTCAAAGATTTGATGTCATCGCAAGCTCATTGAACTGTATCAGCCTGGTACCTTGGAAATACAACTTGGATGCTGCAAATTATGACTATAGTAGGGGTGGACGATATAGCAAAAAAAGCAAGAATCACAATATTCTTAAAGGGGTCATATGATGCGATTTCAAGTTTTCCTTTCGTTGATAACGAGTTTGGCATTTAACGAAGTTAAGTATCATGATATAAACATTTTTATCGAAATGTAATTAAAACATACTGAAAAAAGAATAGTCCTTATGATAAAGTAATGGTAGACCTTTAAAAAATTGATATGTTTAGATTTTTTAAATTTAAATAATCATAAGCCCTGCAATGAAACAGCTAAATTAATAAATAACTTGATGAAAATGCATGATTAATCCAGATATAAGTATTTTATATAAAAACATATTGTTATTTGAGGTATTGTCTGTTTTGACATTTTATTTTTCATCAAAATGCATCCTTTTTTAAAATTTTTCTGTGGATTATCCTCTGCATAGATGCAGTCTTGGACATTATGATTAATCTTAATGCAGGCTTTACTGTAAAACTGGTCTTACGTCAGATGAATAAGGTATATAATGTGATGAATTATTAGTGATTTTTATTTTTTGTATTGCAAAACAGATTTTTTTTTCATCTCCTATAAACAAAGCTTGGTTGCTTTGATTACTCTAAATCCACTTCTGCAGTGTAAAACTAAGCTTCATCTCTCCTACTTCTGCTTTTTCTCTTGTAGATGAGATCTCCAAGATGTGTGAGGTGGACGACACTCCAGAACCGGTCAGTCCCACTCTGCTCAATGAGTCCACAGACACCTACTGGCAGACCGACTGCTGGCACCGACTCCGCACCACCGTCCGTAAACTAGAGTTCTGGGAAGACTTCAGCGCAGAACTTATCGGAACCGGCTTCTTCTCCAAGGTCTACAAGGTAAGGGTTTCCTGTCAGTAACGGTGGAGCGAGACAAAAAAATGTAAAATGTTTATGAAAAATGTGCTAAAATTGCTAGAATGTCCTAAAGGCGGCATGTAATAATGGAACAGCACAGAATCTGATTAGATAATCTGCCCTTTAGCGAAAGTGCACTGATTTAATCAAAGCTGTGAAAATGAGGCACATTGAGATCTCAGGCATTGAAACCTTAAGATAAATGTTTTCGTTCCACCACCTGCTGCCTTTCAAGAGCAAAGGTTCTGTTCCTTATCTCCAGTATAAATAATTGGTGGGGATTTTGTACCCACCCGAATTCTGTTGCCAAAATGTTAAATGATCTTCTAATCATTTTGTCTGGAAGTCACGGCCTTGTTAGTCCTTACAAAAGAACCTTACAGACATGAAGTGTCTGTCGTTTCCTAAAAACAAGCTGCAGACAGTCTACTAAGAAATACATGTTTAACGTCACGTAACCATCACCACCCTGTCAAGCTTAAATGATCTTGAAAACCATCACAAACATGAAAATAACTAGTTGGTTTTAAAAAATGCCTGAGGAAACAATCACATTTTTTATATGCAAACTTTTTTTTCTTGTTTTGCAAAATCGCTTCAGCATTCCTTTAACCTCATAATTTCAATTGTAAGTAACTAAACGGCATTTTGTTACAAGTCTTGCCAAAGCTCACAAAAAAGCCGTTATTATTGTGTGAAACTCTTTTGTGCTTGATACTATCTTGAATGAAAGACTTTGGCGAGGACTAAGATCACAGCAGAGCTTTACAATAGCAGAGTGATTGAACCTAGATAACGTGTTTAATATCAATTCACACAGAATGTAAAAAAAACTGTAAAAAAAACAACAACAAAAAACACACCATGGGCCAAGTAATGACTGGACTTTTTTTTTAAAAGAACATTGTGTCCTAAAGGAGTTGTGTACTGTAAAGGAACAGAATTAGCCCAGGGGAAAATAAGAGTGATGCTTCTTTTTTGTTGTGAATGTGTTTACAGAATTTCAAGGAAGGATAAGCATGTCAGGAAATCCCTCCTGTTGAAACGCCCACTGTATGTACAGCATGTGACGCCCTCGCTGCTGAGTCAATAATGATGTAATTCTCCCTCGCTCAGGTGATACATGGCACCACGAAGAAGGTGATGGTAGTGAAGATCTATAAGAATGACGTGGATCAGAACAGCATCGTGAGGGAGATCAGTCTACTTCAGAAACTCTCCCACCCGAACATAGTGAGGTGAGCCGCCTCTGCACACGCGATTATTAATCACTTCCATCAATCCCACGCCGGCCTGATGCTCATAACACCCACTCAGAACATGGGAAGAAAACAACTCTGACTCTGTCGGCGTAATACTAAATAATAAACCTGACTACGTTAAGATTTCCTGACCTTGAACAAAGGTAACCAGTGAATGGCTACAATTTAGATGATCTTCTGATATTAAAAGCATTAGACTGTGAGACTGTAATAACTACACACAGCCCGTGTTTTGAATCCTGAGTTTTAGTAGTGTTTGCTAAAACAAGCATCATTATTAGTATTGCTTGTAAGGATGCATGATATATCTGCACCAGATTAGATATTGGTCAATATTAGAGATTTTTAATTCATTGGTATCTGTTATTGTTGGATATCTAATTGTGCATGCTAATTTCTAATATTTTTAGAGTTAGATTACCTTACTGTCAACTTCACAAAAGTTGATTAAAAAGCCTTTAGCAAATTTCCATATGATTATCCCGTTTTCATACTGTACAAGTCTCTTGTTGCATTTAAAACAATTGTTTAGCAGTTCTTGTTTTATTTTTAATTTATTTAGACAATATTGTATTTTTTATTTGAATATCATTTAGAAATATATTTATCAATTATCATTTGGATCAGCCAGAATTTTAACATCCCTAATTGCTCATACTTACGTTTAAGAACAAACATTTAACCCTTTGTATTCAGGCCACATCTAGAATATCATAAAAATGTGGCCTCTTTTGACTACCCAGAACACCCTAGCAACCCAATAGCAACTAAAAACTACTTTGAGTACCTTAGCAACTGCATAGCAATGGCCTGGTAAATGCCTGCAATACACTGTCATTCTGGCATCAAGTTTTACATAGAACCTACACACATTTGGGTGAAAATGTAAAAATCTTATTTAATTTGCACTGCTAAAATCCTTTTGATTCCTTTGACTGTACATTTTATCTCAAGTCAATTTAAAGGGTTTACACAGATGTATAAAGGTCACAGGTGCTGATTGGATGATTTGTCAGTCTTGTTATTACCTGTGAATGCTCTAAACTTTGCGTTATTCCTCAGTTCTCGGATGATAAAGTAAAATACTGTGATTTTCATTCTGTAGGTACCTGGGGATTTGTGTCAAGGAGAACAAGCTGTATCCAATTCTCGAGGTGGGTGGCAACTTTTAGGAATTAGTATTCACAATTAAGCATATCCAGTCTTTTGCTTTCTCTGCGTGCTGCCCAGAAAGTCTCATAACACTAGCAGTGACTCACCATTATGTTTTTCTAATGTGTGAAGAGTATATCATTTTCTACAAAGAAAAAAAGTTTTCCTGATTTAACATGCTGCAAAAGTGAGTTGCATTTTCACTGTATAAATCAGGTTATAATTCAAAGTGTTTTATAATCTCGTGTCCTTCCCTCCTCCACCTAGTATGTGAGCGGAGGCTGTCTGGAGGAGCTGCTGGCCAGGCATGACGTCAACCTCTGCTGGAGAGAGAAGATCGAACTGGGCTGTGATATTAGCCGAGGAATGACCTATCTCCACTACAAGAACATTTACCACAGAGATCTCAACTCTAAGGTGAGGACGAGTGAGTTGGCAGACTTCAGGGATCAAAGTTGAGCAATTATGGCAAAGATATATTATGAAATATCACCTCGCAGTGTTCAACCTAGATTTAAAGGTGTGTGCCAAGAACACGCCTTTGCATTTATAGCTAATGATAGAGATTTGTAATGTCACTCCATTGAAATTTTTGCTGTTTTTACATCTAATGTAACTTGCCTGACTTGACTGACTTAAGTCATGTTTTGAACAAAATGTGTTGAATACATGATTCAGCGAGTACCATGTATGCATATAATTCCACAGATTCCAGTGTTTAACTGGTATTGAGCACACTTCGCTTGTGTCCATTTCTTCTTTTCTCATATAACCTAATTTTTTTTTTTATTGCTTAGGTACAGCTTAGTTAGTTGTGAGATAACCATAATATTATCTCCCATAATCTTACAAAGTGAAGATCGGCATACTTACACAGTGGCCCCAAAGGTATCTGGATGCTTAAGTCAAACTTAAAATCCATTTTTTTTAAAAAAAGAATAATTATATATATATATTATATATTTTTGTTATATAAATAAAAAAAAAATTAAAAAAAATCAATTGCGTTGCATTAAAAAATGTCAAAGTGCTATCTGCAAACTATTGCTACACATTTTCTAACTTCACTCATTTTAACCATTACCTGTTAACCAACTAAAGTGAAGCTAGTTCAGGAAAAGGTCCAGCATTATTTGATTGCAGCTGCAGCTTGGTTTGATATTATGTTATCTAAATTTTGCAATGAATTTAATGCATTTTTAGTGTAGTATGTTTGCAAAAATATTTATTTGGCTCCTAATTCACTTTTGGATTTTATTTTATTTTTCAACAATTGAAATGATAAAAAATTGAATGGCATTTTGTGACAAGTAGTGCTTGCATTTCCATTTTTCAATGTGTGAAACTTGGCACCATTTATATTATCTTGAGTGAAAGGTTTTGGTTTCTGTAGATTTACTTCAGTTATGGTTTCCATTCATCGCTTATGAACACAATAGCAGAGTGATGGGACGTAGATAACATGCTTAATACCGAAACACACAGAACATGAAAAACAGTGCCGCATGCCTCCACTGTGACCATTCTCACACCATGGGCCAAGGTATTTCAACATTTTTTTGGTAAAGAACATTGTGTCCTGAAGGAGACGTGTTCTGTAAAGGAACAGGATCGGCCCTGGGGGAAATATAAGTGATGCTTCTTTATGTTTTTCTTCAGAATGTGTTTATAGAAATTCAGTGAAGGAAAAAACATATCAGGAAATCCTTCCTATTGAAAATCCCTATTGGAAAAAAAGGAAGTGTATTTTCAATAGGAAGGAAATACTTTCTATTGAAAATACACTGGCGTTCCAAAGTTTGGGGTCTGTAAGATTTGTTTTTTCTCTTATGTTCACTGAACCTGCATTTATTTGAAATACAGTGAAAACACTTTTATTGTAATTTTTTATTATTTATACAACAGTTCTTTCTGGTCCTTGAATCTGATTAGCTGAGATATCTGAGCAGTGCGATATTCTAGTGATAACAGAACTCTAAACCACCGTTTGTATCACTCCACTTGCAGTATTTCTCAGAGCAAGTGTCATGGCAGATGCCCAGATCCACTATAATTTTATGGATAATACTGTTACTGTGTCACAGAATGTAGTTTTTAGAGATTTTTTAGGCGAGAATGCAATTGTTTAGACTTCAAATATGCGGCTTGTTAAAAAAGACAATGTCTATTTGAAAATTTTCTTTCATGTTTTGGAAGATGTGAGCTGTTATTGTGGAAACCGTGATATATTTGTTTCAGGATGATGAATAGAAAGTTCAAAAGAACAGATTTGTTTGAAAAAAATTTTACTGTCACTTTTAATCAATTTAGTGCATCCATGGTAAATAAAAGTATTAAAAACACTTTCTGTCCCCACACTTTTGAACAGTAGTGTATATGACACCCTCACTCATATTGTTAGTGAAATGACTAAAAGACGAGAATTTCGTTGCATTTTGAAAAGGGAACCTGCACCCTTATAAAGTTGTAAGCAGAGAAAAACAGTCATGGTCCTGACAGGTTTAACTGTGGCAGTTGCCAGGCTGCAGTGTGCAGTGAGCACAGGCCTGTGTGTTTGAACAGAGATGGGAAGGTCAGGCCGTTATTATGCTAATGCTGTAGCCAGCATTCACCATTCCATAAACTCCAGACTGCGGCTGCTTTCACTCGCTAACCTTTTTTCGTTTTCTTTTTACTCGCTCACATAAGAAATGACCTGCTGACACCTGTCACTTTCAAGCTTTTATCCTCTCACCCTGCTCACATGCAGTTTTACTAAAAACGGACATAACTTAGCCTTGTTATTTTTAAACGGTTTTATGTTTTATAACTAGATTTTTACATTTCTTGAAGTAAATGTATGCTTCTCCATGCTAAAGTAAACTCATTGTCCCAATGCAATGTGGTTGCTAATGTGTTCGGGGTGGTAGCTGGGGCTTGTTTACTGGTCCAGTGTAGGTGTGAAGGATTTTTTTTTAGCTTTTTATCAGGCAAAGAAAGAACGTACAGAAAAGTAATAGCACACCTGAACAAGTCCATAGCACAAATATTGCTACTATAGTTTACATGCCATTACACAGTGTGGAGGTAAAACTTTACTTGTTCTGCTTGCATAACATGGCAGGTTCAGGTTTCCATGCCAGAGGTTATGTGTGGTTGTATAGCTGCCTTATGTCAGTGGGTGTATTTAAAACACATGGGTACTGTTACTGCCACACATGAAACCTCAGAGCGTGATAGCACACTCATTGCACATTCACAACTCTCTGTTGATGTAAAGCTATACCTGATGCTCTGGTGAAAGACTACTGTGTGTGCTTTAAGTTGAAGTCAGAGAGTTTACCTTTCAGCATCATATTTATCAATTTGTGCATTTCACTGACTAATGTTACTGATTCATTGACTGAACAAAATGCTTGTCAAGTAAAGCTGACAACAAGTGTAAGTTGGATGATTTTTGTCTTTTATGACTAGTCTCACAATCTTCTGGAATGTTCCAGAAAGCACTAGAATATTACAGAATATTGCAGAAACTTCTAGAATGTTCCCATCCTTGCAAATGCAAAATATCTTTAAAAAAACAAAACATGCTTATCTGTAGCGTATATGTAATATATGTATGTTATGTTTCATAATTAATGATAGTAGTTCTAAAATTGACCTGACCAAAATGTTGATACTATGTGAAAATAAATTTACGGAATTACAAAAGAACAATACACACACAAATTTAAATGAAACACATTTTTGTTACATTGTGTAATAATTTATGTGTAATAATGATCTATTATTATTCTTATTAATTTTATTTAAAATGTGTTTATCATTATATGGATTGCATACTATTATTTATTTTTAGCCCAATCTTATGTTAGAGCCATAACTTTCTGTTTAAATGAGAGGAAAACAGGAACTATAAAGCTTGGATAACTCCACAGCTTTGGAGTCATGTGCTGATGACAAACCGTCCATGACACACCAGATTTGATTAATTAAATGGTCAGGTAATGACTGGGTTTTTCTGTAGGCTCTAGGGGATTTTGTAATAGAGAAGCAGAGTCAAAGACAATTTCTTACTGCTCAATCTTCCTGTTGAGCAATACTGCCATCTTGTGGCACGATACTGTAATTGTGCTGCTTTGTAGTTCTGTTTGGAAAAATGATGGGTCTCCCTCATAAGACTCTGTCATTTTGGTCATCTGAGATGGAGAAAAATCTTCCTTATACTTTTGTTTTCGTTTGCTTTCTTTCCTCATACCACAGTGAAAGATGTGAGATAAAGTCTGTTTCTAATGCAACATATTACATGTGGAATCTTGTTTTGTCAATGCAGAACTGCTTGATCCGTGTGACCTCGCGTGGCAGGGAGGCCGTGGTCACTGATTTCGGGCTGGCCAGAGAAGTGGGGGATCTGCCTGCAAAAGACCCCGACAGGAAGTTGTCTCTGGTGGGGTCGGCCTTCTGGATGGCCCCTGAAATGCTTAGAGGAGAGCCGTATGACCGCAAGGTACTGAGAACAGAATGCTGTACCAATGAAAATGAGACGTCCAACTTTGAAAACGAAAGTGTAGAATAGGACATTTATGGTTGAATAGTCTTTTTCCTGAAAATTAAATTAGTATTGATTTACTGACAGGTTTCACATTTATCCACATAACCGTTTCACATTAATCCAAATTAACCTTCTGATTTGATGCCATCCTTCATAGGTCGGGGCTGAGGTAGAGATTTGGAAAGTCATTTATTATGAGTAACAGATACAATAAACTGTGAGCTGTTTCTGCCTCACTGTCAGTGATAAAGAGAGAGCCGTTGCCGGTGCTGTTGTGATTAGAGACCGAACTGAACCTCTGCTGACTGGCCGTATTCTCCTGTTTAATCATAGGTTGATGTCTTCTCTTTTGGGATCATGTTGTGTGAGATCTTAGCAAGAATCCCTGCCGACCCAGAGGTGCTGCCCAGGACGCAGGTAAACACACAAAGACAGTCCTTCAGTCCTTCCTTATTTAAATATATGTTGTGATTTGTAGTGATCAGAATACTAAAAAACAACGCTATTGAACCATTTTTTTAACATTAGAAATTAGTGGGACAAACTTTCATTGCTCCTATCTAAATGTTTTTCTTAAAGGGGTCATATGATGCGATTTCAAGTTTTCCTTTCTCTTTGGAGGGTTACAAGCTTTACATGGTGAAAAAAGATTATTTAAAAAAATATTTGGTTACAGTTGTTTGGATTCTAAGCATGGATTCCCTCAAAGATTGTTCAAAGCTGTAAATAAAACAAAGCCTATGAGAGTATGTTTTACAAGAAAATACAATTTCAGTCTTTCTACTTTAAATTTCACAACTCAATTCAATGTGAAAGTTTCTTTTTAATTAATTGGGAAATTTTCTAGATATTTCTGAGTGAAAACTGTTTCTACACCTTTTTTTTATTCAGCATAGGCAGATTAATACCATTTGTTCATTTACACTACATCGTTACACAGAATACATAATTTAGCACTTGCATGAGCTCTGGGATGATTACAGTACATACAACCCCTTGAGAGAGACGTGTTACGTCGCGTGAATTAATATGGTTCTCTTCACTGCATTGGGGATGAAAGTAAGGTCAGACAGAGCGATTGCGCCCTGGTGTACAGCAGTGTGGTCATTTACGCTTCATTAATGCTGATGGACAGCCGATGATGTCTGGAGGGGAGAGAACAGATAGATCTGATCTAGGTCAAGGGAACCATCACACGGACATTTAGATTCTTTAGTATGGATTTATTCATCGCGCTCTTCCGTCACATCAAGGATAATGATTTTCTGGTCCATCTACATTTTCACTGTAGTTGTTAATAAATGTATGAGGCTAAAGACACGTGGTTATCGTATGTACTCTACCAGTCGAAAGATTAAAAAAAAAAAATGTTTTTGAAAGAAGTCTCTTATGCTTAAAGGCTGCATTTATTTGATTAAAGAGTAAGAAGTTTGTTTATAGTTTGTTCGTATTTTCTGGTGAGATATAATTTACTTGTAAGGTTTGTGTCACAATTTTATTGTGAAATATAGTTTGTTGGCTTTTTTTTTTGGTGAAATATAGTTTGTGTTTCATATAATTTTCTTATGAAATTGTAAAAAAAATTCTTGTGAAGTATAGTTTGTAAAGTTTTTGTAATTTTCTGGTGAAATAAAGCTTCATTCTGAAGTGTTTTCTATAATTTTCTGGTGAAATTGTAAAGTTTGACTTACAATTTTCTGGTGAAATACAGTTTGTTTGCAAAGTTTGTTTTGCAATTTTCTGGTGAGATATAGTTTGTAAAGTGTTTCTTATAATTAAAAAAAAAAAATGTGTCAAATTTCTGGTGAAATATAGTTTGTAAGTGTTGTCTTGCAGTACAAACTTTTTTTTTAAGTTTGTATTTTAGATTGTTTATCATAGATAATATACTTTTTCTAGTGAGACAATTTGTTTAGGATCTTTTTGATGAAATGCATTTTGTTGGTTAAGTTTGTCCTACACTTTCCTAATAAAATACAGTTGTTTGTCTTTGACCCCTCTGAAGAAATGCAGTGTTTTCAAATTGGCATTAAAATTTTTTTGAGAGAGACAATTTGTAAAGTTTGCTATGAGCTCATGTGATGAAATCTAATTTCACAAATGAAATTAATGAAATTTAAATTATAAATGCAGAATGCATTTTAAATTCTGCGACAGTCTTTTAGTATGCAACATTTCCATGTTCTTTCAAAGGAAAGAGTAAAAGGTAAATTGACATCAGTGTGTGATCTGTTGACAGGACTATGGGCTGGATGTGGAATCGTTCAGAGAGCTGGTGCAGGGCTGCCCAGAGCGGGTTCTGGAACTCTCTGCCAGCTGTTGTCAGGTATGAAGTAGCGACTCGAGGGTCATGTTTATTATGGTGTGACTGTGAATAGAACTAACACCTGTCAAGTGAGAGCTTTCACCTTCAGCATTCATAATGTGGCTCCATGAATCACCTGGTTAACTGTTTTGTAGGTATATATAACAGATTCAATGAAACACCAAAGCTTATCATGTTTTTCTCTTTCTATCAGATGGATGCATTCCGAAGACCTTCCTTCTCTGAGCTCCTGGATGAGCTAGAGGACATCGCTGAGACCCTAGAGCCACCAGACAACAACCTAACCACAGGGTGACCTCCACAAATACCTCCTAACAAAATGAATCACCTGGTTAACTGTTTTGAAGGTATATATATAACAGATTCAATGAAACACCAAAGCTTATCATGTTTTTCTCTTTCTATCAGATGGATGCATTCCGAAGACCTTCCTTCTCTGAGCTCCTGGATGAGCTAGAGGACATCGCTGAGACCCTAGAGCCACCAGACAACAACCTAACCACAGGGTGACCTCCACAAATACCTCCTAACAAACCCCTGGACTATAGGATTTAAGGGACTGTGCTACATAAGAGCCTGCAGCAGTGGACCGTGACTGGCACTCTGTTCTCCCAAGAGTAGAATATACAGGGGAATGTCTGGTAATTGAGGACAAAATCACTTAACTGAATGTTCGCTCAATAACCAGTTCTGGACGCCCTCCCTGCAGCGTGTGACACTGAATGATTGCGAGAGTCCATTTGAGAGGCTGAATTTTACCTTCTCTATTTTTTATTTCATATAGATTAAAGTAATATCTTTAGGGACCAACTTGTCAGCTGAATTTTTTAAAAGACCAAATTCTCTACGAACCATTCCTGATTTATATGGGTTTCAGGAAAATGTTTACTTTTTTTTTTTTTTTTTTTTTTTTTTTTTGATAATGTTTAAAT